CGGAGCGTTTTGAAACGTGGGGAGGGTTCATCTTCCACTCAGCCATACGCATACCCCTGCTCAAATTTTCCAAAATGCGCTTTGCGTTGTTCATTGGCACAAGCAATATTCACAGTGTTTAGTGTGTCCGCAATCGATGAAATGCAACAGTAGGCAGTTGTTCAGGCGGTCCTGCTTCATTGTGCTTCTTAGGTGGTTCTTGAGGCGTCTGAGGGCAGAAAATGTGCGCTCTGAAGTCGCTGATAACACAGATATTGTCAAATACATCGGTAAAAGCGTTTTTCGGCACCAAAACGTGGGAGAGGGGGAGCTACGCCGTCCCCCGCCCCCCCCCCCATCCCCCCTACTCCGCCGCCTATGCGGTCTTAAGCAATTCCCTTTGTCCTGACAAAGTCCACGCTCGCGTAATCAAAGATTGCCTCCCTGTCATCCTGGGTCCGCTTACAAAGATCATCAACTGTTCTCTACTCACGTCTACCTTCCCTGCTGCGTCTAAGAAAGCGGAAGTAATTCCTCTCAAAAAGGGTGATGATGAGGTGGCATCTAACAACCGCTCTTTATCTTTCTTAGCCGTTGCCTCCAAGATCTGCGAAAAGATAGCGCTAAACCAATTTAGCTCTTACCTAACGAATAACAACCGGTCGTCATCTCACCAAAGTGGAAATCTACTGAAACTCTCAGTATTCATTCTACGGATGCCATATTGGAAGGAATGGAAAACTAGATAGTTACTGCTTTGATATTGCTCGACCTCTCGAAAGCTTTTGACAGCAACAATCATCGCAGATTACTTTAGAAATTGTCACAAATTGGCGTTTCACCTTCCACAGTAAACTGGTTTCAACGCTACTTGTCCGACCGCTTCCAGTTCGTTCGCATGAATTCCACCCTTTCAGACCTCCTGCCAGTCTCCCATGGGGTGCCAAAAGGCGCCATTGTCTCACCTTTGCTTTTCTGCATATATATGAATGACGACCTTCCCTTCACTTCTCAAAATTGTTCCCTTGAATCTTACGTCGATGACACAAACGTTTACCTCTCGTTTTCCTTATCAGATTCCGACACAGCAGTCACGAAACTAGAGCAAGCCCTACATCGAGTCGCAACATGTTGCTCCTGGGGGTCCTCCCTATGATGGGCTATACAAGGAGGCTCCACCCGAAAGGGGTCTCTCTTTGCCGTCGCGTCGTTGGATCTTCAAGTCCCCAAGAAGAGGAAGCGATGTAGTTTAACGTTTTGACGTAGGCGTCACGTGGACGCGCATGCTCGATGAAAAAGCAAACCGTTGCTTGCAGTGCTTTCTCTTCCTTTGTAGCGTAGTGTCTGACCTGTTGCTTTTGAACAAATTTGGCAAACCTTGTCTATTTGCCTTATTTAGTATGCGGTGGACTCTTCAATATCTTACTATTTCAGTTATTTAATTTTGATCAGTTTTAATTAGGCCGATTTGGTATCGCCAAATTTTGATTCAGTGTAATAAAACAAAAAAGTAGATATAGGTGGTATAAAAAAAAACAAATACACTCAAGGTCCTCACGGCACAATGCATTTTCCACAGATTCCGCTAACTACACATTAAAATCAATTCACTCTTACCACACTCCTTATAAAACGGACACCTCCCTTAAACTGATACCTGAGAGTTGATACCCGCCTTTGTAGCGGAATCCTACATCTACTTCTTGGGATGACTATAAGTGGCAACGTAACAAGGTTACGTCGCTAACGCGCAACGCCTTGAAAAGGTTCTGCTGTGATGCTTCCTTGAGTGCTAGACATCCGGGCGAATTTTGGAGAAAAATGAAGCCTCTTTTTGCCAACTAGTCATTCTGGTAAAAACATACAAGGCGTCATCCTCGTTGAGGGCAGTAGTGTTGTTTCCGACCCTGGGTGTGTGGCCGAAGTCTTTAGTGGTTACTTTGCCAATGTCATTCAGTTAGAGCATAGATCTGAAACTGACTACACTGGCCATCCCAGTATCAAGGCAATAAGCAATCTACGTTTCTCAAGTGAGTTTAATTACTCCCCAGTCAGTACTTCATATATCCGTAACATCTTAGACCACCTTAATCCGAGAAAGGCAGTTGGGGTAGACGGCATTTCACCACGAATCTTGCGTTTGCGGTCCCCAGTTCTTGCCGAAGAGGTGACTAAGTTGATCAACTTCTGTATTCCGAATCGCTCATTGCCGTCTGAATGGAAGCAAGCGCGCCTTACTCCTGTCTTTAAACGGGGGATTGACACAGACAAAGCAAACTACCGCCCCGACTCAATATTAACTTCGCTATCGAAGGTATTTGAGAAAGTTATTTATGACCAAACTTGGAATGCATTTCATAGCGTTTTGTCCTCAAACTTATCTGGATTTATGAAAACTCACTCTTGCTGCACTGCACTGCTAAAAATGACGGAAGATTGGAGGAACAGTATTGATAACAAGGAAGCTGTAGCGGCAGTCGCTGTGGACTTGAGCAAAGCGTTTGATGCCATAAACCACAGCCTTCTGCTCGCGAAGTTGAAGGCCTATGGCTTTTCTCCACATGCCTTGGAACTGATGTCCACCTACCTGCTGGGTCGTCAACAATGTGTCAGATTAGAAGGCGTATGCTCTAACTTCAAAACAGTTAAATCTGGCGTTCCTCAAGTTTCACTATTGGGGCCGTTGCTGTTCAACATATTCATCAATGACTTGAATTTCTGTGTTCCTAATGTCTCATTGCAGCTGTACGCTGATGACAAGACTGCCTACCTGTCTGATGTATCTCCCACCATTCTAGAATTTTCCTTCAACAAAGATCTTCAGACTCTTTTGTCGTGGTTTGAGTCTAACCATTTAACAGCGAACAGTACTAAGACTCGAGCATTATCTGTCGGACCATGTGCCTATCATTATTCTTTATTTCTTAATAATGCTAGAATAGAATTTCTCCGATCTATTAAGATTCTCGGACTTAGTCTAGACAAGGACCTATCCTACAAAGAACACATATCAGATCAACTAAAGAAAGCCTACCCGAAGGCCTCTGCACTGAGAAGAATAAGGCGTTTTCTTCCTCATGATGCGATGATAAAACTTTATAAAGCATTGATATTACCTCATCTTGAATACTACAGTCCTTTGTTTGTAGGCATAGGTACGGGTCAACGCAACCGTCTCGAAGATGGCAACTGTTATATTTTGAGAACATTAATCGGGCACAACAAGTCAATGTCACACGACGAGCTGCTCACTACGGCTAGCATGAAATCCTTATATTGTAGGCGCTTACACCAGGCGTTAATACTTCTTTTTAAATGCTTAAATGGTACGGGACCTACTTGCATTGGAAGCCTTTTTAAATACAGGCATACACCGTATAGGCTGAGAGGCGAGGGCTTGAATTTGGAATTACCTAACTTTAATCTTAAATTTAAGAAGAATTCTTTCACTTATTCATTAACTAAGTTATGGAACAGTTTGCCTTCTCAAGTGCGTCTTTCAAGTCATGCTAATGACTTCAGAAGTAAATCGCACGACTGTAGCTTTTGAGAACGTGTCTTATAGTGCACGATTGTTGCTTTACTGTTTTTAGAGCGAGTATTATAGTTTTTCTAGTCACGTTTTTTTCCGAAGAGGACTTAGATCAATTAGTATGTGGCTTGTTAGTCGGTTTTTTTTTTTTTATTTATTCAAAGTGTTATTTTGTTTAATTTACCTTTTGTGATCATTTGCTTCAGTCTAATATTATATGCACGTTTTTAGTCTTCATTATTTGTTTAAAATATCGAGTACCTTTTGCATCAATCATTTTACACCCTAATAGAAAGAATGCAAATCCTTTATTGAGGCGCACATGTTTTTTCCCGTCGAGACAACGTTTATTACAAAAGACTTGAACAAATCGTGACTTTGAAAATAACTTCATTGAATGTCAGGGGACTTAGGGATGACGCTAAAAGAAGAGAAGTATTTAATTGGCTTCGCGCCAAAAGGCCATCAATATGCATGCTCCAAGAAGTACACTGTATAGAAAAAACAAATCACTTGTGGAAAGCAGAATGGGGCTATCAAGCTTTACTTCACCTCTTTTGAAAGCAACAAAGCAGGGGTATTCTTTTTAACAATAATTTTAACCTTCAGCTCCAAAGACTTTACACCGACCCTGCAGGGAGATTTATTATCTGTGACTTAAAAGCTAACGAAAAGCTTTTGACCCTCGCTAACATCTATGCTCCCAACGAGGATAAACCTTCATTCTTTCAAAACTTTTACGATCATTTTTTAAATTTTAAATGTGAAGACATAATAATTGGCGGTGACTTCAACCTTGTTCTTAACATCGAAAATGACAAAAAAGGTGGCATTGCCAAAACTCACCAAAATAGCTTGAAGACCGTTCAAGAAATTTCAGAGAACCTAGATCTTCTCGATGTCTGGAGAATTCACAATCCAGATGACAAAAGGTACACTTGGAGACAACGACAACCTAAGGTTTACTGTAGACTTGATTTCTTTTTAATAAGCCAAAGCGTTATTGGGGACGTCACTAACACCGATATAGTGCCAGTTAGAAAGAATTATTGAGACTCGTACGAAAGGTTCCATATTGAGAGCTAAAATTAAATGGCATAATGAAGGAGAAAAAAATACGAAATATTTCCTCAACCTAGAAAAGAGACACTATAAGCAAGGCATTATAAGCCAACTTAAAGTGGACGAAAATAACTTTATTACTTCGGATCAGGAAATATTAGCAGAAGGGGAATCTTTTTTTATGAATCTATATACATCCAACAGAAATATACACAATTTAATTGACACATATGATTTTTTAAACACGAAAACGACACCGTCCTGAATGACGAACAACGGAACAACATATTTTATTTTGTCATTACCAAGTTTTTTATATGTATATATTTATTGAGTTGTTTTTAAAATTGAATAATATATAGCTGTAATTATTATAGATTTTATTTATACACGTTCGCATTTTGAACGAGTTTTTTAGCTCTTTGACGTAACGTGTTAAAATAAATGATTGATTGATTGATTCTTCAGTCCTTTTCTTTGACTTGGTTTAAGGCAGACACCCCTCACTTAGTGCCGCTCGCAGTCGTTTCCGTCATCCTCTGAGACCCAAAGGGAGTGAGTCGGGTCGCCCGTGCCTGAGAAACTTTTGTCCCCCTCTTCCCGGCCGACCCGACTGACTACCCCTGGGTCTCCTGGACCAAGGATAGGGTTTCCGTCAGCACAATAAGCACACATAACAAGCGAATAAAATAACAGCCATTACATGTTTTCTTTTCTCCGTTTCACTCTAATTACATCAATCCTTCAGTAGAGAGATGGTTTATCTGCCCTAACTAAAACAGTGATTTTCTAAAAAACATTCTGAATTAAAACCGATTGATCGTACAATCAATGAGGCTGTGTGACTTTGTACACGCCAATATATCCAAATAAAATGAATATTTCATAACATTTCTATGTCTGCAAATATTTTTTTATATTAAAACTAAAAATTCCAATTGATTTAAGCCCCAAAATTGAGATAACAATTCTCTTCTAAAGTCTCAACAAATCCCCAAATATACTGCAATACTAAAGAGTTCACGTGAAAAGAGTTATAATTCTACTGACAAGATGTTGTACCGATTAAGAGAAAGTTAAGGGCTGATAGCTTGGGAATAATCTCTCATTGAGGCTTAAATAAATTATTAAAAGAGTATTCAATAAATTCAGAGTTAATTGACCCTGACTATATATTGAGTGACAAATCAGATTTCACTTCATGATGCCACAGGCAACGTCCAATCCCTTCTCCTACACTAGCTTACACCATTGTCAAGTCGTGTAAGTGATTTTAGCTTTAAATTTGGCGCATAAAAGACGTGATTGTTCAAAGGAAAGCCACTGGGCAGTACTTTCCTATTACATGTATACTCTCTTTTGTGTTGTACAAGGTGGTTAGAAGTTTTAATAAGTGCTTGAGTGTGGTTATTCAATCGAGCACGTTGGTGAAATACTAGTCTGACCAGGGAGGGCTATGCTTCGACGACTAAATGACTTCATAAGTACATATGTACTTTTCTGCGATAATGTTGACAGTATGTTAACACAGGTGACCATTCAAGGAAGCTTAAATGAATATGCCACAAGGCAATTGGTAAGACATCAAAAAAAGAAATGCTTTCTCAGTAGGTTTAACTCTTATACATCCAACTTTTGCAGTTACACACTTCCAAAAACTGCATTGATAGATAAATATCATAATATTGTATCATAAAATTTATAAGAACAAATAGGAGTAACTTGACTGCAATACTATACACCAAACTCGTATGAATTGGAATTTTGTTTGCCGTTTTTATGCCAACGAAAGGCCTCTTCTACGTAAATTTCGGCTAATTTTTAACTCTTAGTCGCGATTTCATCTAGTACTTAATTGTTTGCGTTTTGAAGATGTATTCTATGATATAATTTCAAAGTAAAAAGGCACTTAACTGTACAACGCTTGTAGTCTTCTTATACTAATCACATAGATTATAGCATTTAAATATATATAGATACGACAAGCAAAGTCGAAAAAAAGATAATGGTATCGTGCTACATTTTGGCCATTCATTATAAGAACCTGAAAGTAGCCACACGACCTAACACAAGAAACAATTAATTCAGCGAAAAGAAGGTTCATAAAATTGTTCGAAACATTCCCAAATACAAGTCCCTTTAGTTTGAGGGCTAAATCCTAGTTCGAATATCTGGACTTATTAATCTAGAAAAGCCGCTATATCCGGCATAAAAGATTTGCGGACGTCTTATTTCTCTATAACTTTCTAGTCACGTCTTGATTGATCTTCGTACTTCTCATAAATTAACAAGAACCACATTTGCATTTTATATCAAATTCGTTCTTTCTTCTAACTGAATAGCCAAAACTAGCGTGAACTAATGTGACAAAATAGCCCAAAATAGAGCTATCTGGAACTATAAAGTATGAGAGGATTACTTAAAATATCAAGATATATCCTAAACCTGCTCTTTTGGTACTGTGCAATACACAGAACGCTAAAAATGCAAGGCTATGAACGAAACCCCATTGAAAATAAGAACCTGTCTTTGCGATTCAACACAAATCTTCCCTTGCAAAATCCCAAACTTTCTAAACAATGCTCCAGAAAAGCAGGCTCCTTTTTCTCTGTCCGTTCTACGCGGGGCTAATGCTAAGCTCTGGGCCTTCATACAAGTGTGAAATCCCGGGAGCTTCATTAAAAAAGCATCCTGTGGCATATCAGAACCAGTTCTGGTAGTGGCCTGTGACACATGTTTGTGTGTAAGGAGCTACAGTAATAAGCGTGTCAATAGGATAACTTACTCCAGTCCGTGTGGCAGTTGAGATGGTTGTTAGCGATGCATGGTCTATTCCATTCGTGCTACCTATCCGCTTTGCAGAATCCATAAAAGATGACAAATAGTTCTGCGAATTTACAAGAGCAAGATTTGATGAAAGGCCGTTTCTGGCAGCGAAAAGTGGATGAAAAGGAGGCATGTAAAAGCTTGGAAACGTCGGGAAAGGTACACCAAATTTGTATGGACTGTAGCCGCCGAACAAGCGATTGGCCGCCATCGAAAGGTCTAGGTAAGACCTCTCCGGACCACTGCTAAGCTTGTTACCTTCTCCTGGAGAGAGTGGAAATGGCGGTAAAAATGGAATTCTCGGGGAAGCGGAAAGTTGCATTGACGGCTCTGAAGGATTGGAATACATCACAGGGACACCACGATCTTTTTCACGTGTATTGGAATGCGAAGGTTTCTCAACAATGCTTTCACCGGGCGGCGGTCTTGACAAAGATCTCTCATCTCCAAGGATGTTACTTATCCTGTATGATGCTGAAGCGGTATTGGACTTGTTCTCCTTGATATTTTCACCTCCTAAAAGTCTCAAAACACTGAAATTAGAGCTAGTACTTCCTCGTTCATCGCGTGACTTTACTACAGACGCCTCGGTGTTGGTAACTTTATTAGGAATCATTCCGTTCGAAAAAGACGAACATTTCAGTCCTTCGTCTTGTGATGATGACAACTCTACACGATTCAAACCGGAATTTGCACCAGATGAGACATGATCTGCATCTACCTTGCTACTGACTCTTGAGAAACTACTAGACAAACTGGGGTTTTTGAGTCCACCACCGCTGTGATGAACATGGGGAGAAGATCCCCAAGTCTGATTTCTCGTAGTTGGTGACAAGTCATTGTTTTGAGAACCGTCAAAAGAGGGCATCAACAAATGGTCTGGACGTCTCGCCTTTGGAGACAGATGAAAATGTTTATTTTGATCATTTCCTCCCAAAGACCATCCAGTGGTAATTTCTCCGTTAACGCCAATCGATCTGTTTTCTTCCACATTATTACTTGGAAGACCTTTAGATGGGTAATTTCCACCTACAAAATTCATTCCTGAGTTGCCTAGTTGTATCGGGGTGGAAGGATGGTGATCTGATAAACTAAAGGTTCGATTAACTGAGGTTTCACTGACGCTACCTGGCCTTACAGAGTTGCCATTCATCGATGGGGACTGGACAGAATAACGACCCGCTTTAGAAACGTAGCTATTTACGATGCCAGGTTCATTGTCCGCTCTTGACAGAGCTGTTTCTGCCAGCATGTCTAAGTATCCTACTTCTCGTTGTTCTTCAACGTTTGGTTGAAAGGCAAAAGCATCTTTTTCAGCGGGATCAGACTCCATATTGACAGCTTCTTCCTCCATTTTCTTCTTTGCCACTTTCTGCTCCCATTCATTAAGGCCGTGAAGCGTGAGGTTCATGTGCTTATGTTGATAAAATACAAGGCTAATGCGTGTAGGATCCTGCCGTTTGGGCTTCTTTAAAGGAGTCGTGGCATGCAGCTCTTTCTTAGCAACCTCAATAAGCAACGACCCATGGCCAAGAGCGATTGCTACTCCTCCCATTTCTTCTTCAATCCTGAAAGACCTTTTCGCCTGCTCAAAATTGAACAGATCTTTCTCATTTTTACGATTTACCGCTTCTTCTTTCACATTCCCATTTTCGTCAAAAGATGCAATACCCGATGCTCTCATGAGTGGGACCTCTTTGTCATCCACCCATTTGATTTGTGACGTTCTCCCCATTTCCCGAGAGGCACCGTTGAAGTGATGAATCACAGTCTTTGGTTTAGCGTATTCCGTGACACGGTTTGTCGATGAGCAGCTCATACTAACGGATTTATCGAACGGTATTCGACAGTTCCAAGGCCCGGATACAAATGGAACCTTTCTTTCGTCAACGTAACCAAGCGCCGAACTTTGAAAGTAATTTACGTGTCCGGGATTGCGGTACAAATACGGAATGTGGTTCTCGTCAACCCAGTGCACTTCTGGCGCATGGCAGTGATTCAAAACGTAGTTATTGCCAAGATGAGGATGGTACTGAAATAATGAGGAACCTTGAGGAGGGTACCGTCCATTGTAACAGTTGCTCATCACGTGGTTGGAAGCTGGGTGATGGTGGATGACAGAAGTGGGAAAGCCATGTACCGATTGCGCATGTCCATGAGGGATGTGACGCCCATCCAAAGGGACAAACGTCTGATTGTTGTTTATATCGTGAAACACTTCTTTTCGTTCTTCTCTACGGTGTTCCTGGTTTTTCACTGCCTTGTTAGCTGGGTGTTTTGGAGAGTTTTCCTGTCCATTCACAGTTGAGTAACCAGGTGATACCCCCACAGGAGGGTCAAGAAAGTGGCTAGGCATGACATAATTAGGTTTCACAGGGTTTCCATTTTTGTCCAGTAAGCGATATAACGGCAGAACGTGGAGCTGTTCATCTTCTGAGTTCTCAGAATCTGGCTTCAGGATGGTGCAAACCTGTCAAAAAGAAAACGGTTATTACGAAAAAGTCCATCTTTGCATGATTTATCCGATGGATAGCGTTATCCAACGTTTGAACAAACTGGGCCTGCAAGTGGCTAGGGATTTTCCACTTTTGGTTATTGTTTAACGTTTGCATCCTTTAGTACCTAACAAACATAAATGTCATGCTCAAAAGTAAATCTAATGTTTACGTCAAAATTTAACACTACGGACATTAAAGATGTCAAATCATCCGAACAGGATACAGCCTTGAAAACAAAAAGATAAAAATAAAACTAAAGATTGTGTTTACCAGTGTCGCTCCGCCATCCATGTTACGCAGATCCTTGTGGCTATGCGCACAAAAGTCCACACAACAGGTGACCCCTGAAAATGGTCGCTTCTCGCCATTTCCAATGCGGCACTCGAGTCCTTCCTTTTCTTGTTTGACCTGACAAAGAAGCACGCAAAGTTCATATAAAGAAACACACAAACAAAAAAGAAGAAACGCGTCACCTTTAACTTGCATCACAAGAAATTCCCGACTTATGGCGACTAATGATTTACGGTAATCATTCTTGCACCGACGGACCAGAGCAAGAGCTATATTGCTCTTGACCAAAGACCCGTTTCACGAAGTTCTATTAAGTCACGGATATACCTGAATTTTAGTATTAAAATGGTAATGACCATTGCTAACGAAGAAGTTGAATAAAATAACACTCAGAATCGGAGATCTTCTTGAGTCTTGGCCCAGCCTCGATACAGCCTTTCATATCTGGTTGATACAAAGGTGCGACGACATGGCAACCCAGTGGACACATGTTACCCTGCTTACCACAACTTTTTTTAATTTCGGTGGAATATTTCGGGGTCGGCCAAGCTAAGAGCGGCGCGAAAGACTTGACAGAATGAAGGGAAACCGCTAAACAAGTCTCTGAAACCCAGGGCAGATAAATCTCTATCCACAACCAGTAAGAAACTACAGTGTACGCAGGATTAACCTTGCCAACAGCTAGCCTCCCTTTCGATGGATAAATACCATTTTGAGGATATTCAAGCCACATAAACCGGATCAGTAAGCTTCAGTCGTATTACATGACCTGGATACTGAGCCGTCTTTAACTATCTGCTATCTCACCTGGTTGTTAAAGGCCTCTGGAGCAATCTTCTCGTACGCAAAGGATAAGTCAGTCGCTAAGTTTTGCATTACTGTTTCTAATTCTTCCTCCTATGAACACAAAAAGCAAAAGGAAAATTATCACAACAGCTGATTAGTGGGAAGAAATGATTTACCTTCTTACAAGGCGTACAAAAAACATTTGCGCATGAGCTTAGCGAGGTTGCTTTCGTCTTCGGCACAAACTTCAAAACTTAACTGTAAATCTATTTATTTTAGGAGTTCGGGACATGCAATGTAGCCGCGTGTACGTGTTTTATGACATTGAGTTCATATCAAAAATATAAAATGTTTTCTAATTCCCACAAATGATCAGAGAAAGGGCCCTTAAAGAAAAGTTAGAGCAGTGCAAGTTGAATAATAACCTACCTTGGAAGGATCAAGTAATTTAAACTTGCGCGGAGATTTGCTACGAGTAAACTTGCAACCATTATAAAACATGCTCCAGGAGCAGCCAAAAGAAAAGGACGCACCACAAGTATCATCACTTGTCCCCTGACAGGCACATGATTTGCTGCAGTGCAATAAAAATGGTAAATGGTAAATCCTTGGTGAGTGGAAGTGCACTGAGCTGCTCCAGCTATCTAGTTTACAGGCACTCAATTTAATAATTATTGACAAGAGGAAAATAAAAACAACCTTTCAAAGCATGACAGAGGAGTTGAATAAGCAATTTCCAATTCAGTCCAAAAACTCTCTCTTTCAAAACGAGGCAAATTGCAAAACCTTTGTTGTGGAAATGAGTCAATTTCCCCGCATGATTTGGTATCAATGGCATCGCACTTAGCCTCGCTTTGAAACAGAGGCTTGAGGCAACTGGGAAATGGACTATTCACACAAATCCGGAAACACAAATGCAGCGCGACTTGAACTCAGGTCTTCCGTCTTCCAAGTATTCCAAGGAATCAACAAACGAACGAGAATTTCATCAGTTCTATTTTGTGTGCTTTCCGAAATGGTTTCTGTATATAAAGTATGTATTCTTACGTCTCGTTTATTCCGCATCGTCTGGCAGTAGGAACACCATGTTGTGGTAGAACAGTGCTAAGGTGCTTATACAAATTATCCGCTCTCGCCTGGTTAACACCTTCCCATAACACTATGTTAGTTACAATCAGGGACGTTTCACAAACGTGATCAACTCGCTTTTTCGCCAGGACCAATATCTTCTCTTCCTTACCGGAACGACGAATAACCTGATTAATAACAAAAACCAACGATAAAGAATTCATTGGAATTAGCAAAGTGGCCATACACGCTCTCTGTGCTGGGATCATTGAAAAAAATTGGGGGTGGGGTGGGCGGGGCAAAGGCTGGCTAGTGACTTGAAGTAGGAAGGCTTGGAGAACTCTCCTCTTATTGAGGTCTTTATTTTTTCAGGAAATGGATTCCCTAGGACAAAACGTTGGTCACAATTTGCTATTACGGACGTATTTTATGTGTCTCGTCTCGTGGCCGTTATGGATCTTTTAACCTTAAAAACCTTTAAAACAAATGGTCCGTTATTTTCAGCATCCATTAACACTTAATAAAAGAAAGAAATCAAACAAAAAAGCAACATTTTAATACCTGAAAAACCACAACCCCAAAAATACGGCATGCAACTTTTGTTCGACACTTTCGATGTCTTTGGCTTTCTATTTTTGTTGTTTAATAAATAGATTTACACACCTTTAGCCCGACCTTTAGCTAATGAAGCCTGCTACTAAAACTAGTTTCTTTTCGTGGATTTTTGCAGCAGAAAAAAAAATTTAAGTTGACAGTCATCAAAGAGGTGACTCACCCATCTTGCAATTGGACAACCAAGGTGGTTTTTTCCTTCTTTACCAGTATAACCAATCTAAAAAAGTAAACAGATTTGAAACATTTATATTGTAAATAAAAACGTCTCGCAGTTTAATTTTTTGACATGAATTGTTTCATATCTTGAATCAATGTCTTGCCTTAAGGCAGTGACTCAGAACTTTTGCATTAATCAAATACAAGCTTGACAAAATGGTATCAAAGAAATAAATACATGTATCCCCTGTTTGACAACTGCAAGTGAGCCATATTGCATTATTTGAGTGTTGACTGTCAATACTCACCAATTCAATTCTCAGTGCTGAGCCTTTGATAGAGAATCTGGTAATGAAAAAGGGATATTTGAAGAAATAGATTAAAGTTTCAAAATCTTCATCTGAAAAGAAGGTCCTGCGATTCCTCAGTTGCATATATATTTTCAAAGGCCAATAAAGTGGATCTTTCTTACTGTGAAAATAGCCGAGACAAACAAGCTTGCCTTGCAAGTTTGCAGAGCAAGCAACCTCGTCCCCAGGGTTTAGCCTTTGCCATTTTGGATGATCCCAACTTGCTCCTTATCTTGAGACTACAATTTTTATTCTTTGCTTATGTAAATGTATTTATTTGTCTCTTTTCTTCAATCTGTGTTACACGTAAATGGAGCCGAATGAGATAAATCTTCTTGTCTTGAGCCACATTTTGAAATTTCTCAAGGACCCTTGTCTTCACCCCATTAGCATAAATGCCAACTCTCCTGGATACAGCACCAATTTCCCACTCTCCAGTATGGGTCACCAAGCCCGAGCTTTTCTGTGCCTTAGTTTGAGATTTAGCCAATTTTTTGCTCAAAACCTGAATTTTTCTTACTCTCAGTACGTATTTAGTCACTGACATAATTTGCAGACAAAGATTATTTCTGGCATCAAAACGATGATTGCAAATTTTTATAGTAGCTACCTCATGTAAGACTTCATATAATGTCCTTAGTAATTCCCATTGGGGGCTGGGTCATTATTTCGTGGGGGGGGGGGTCCGTTAAAATTCCAGGGTGTAGTGAAAAAAAGAGAGTATCCAGATTTTAGATCTCCAGAGCATAGGACATAGGACCCCTGAGTGGAGCACATCTAGACTCCCATCTCCATGATCTCAGTCCCATTCTAGAACAGACCCATCTGGATCAACACAAATGACTGCTTAACTAAGTGATTCATCTTTAAAAATAAAATGAATATGATGGTATTAAAATATGCCAAAACACCCTTCCCAGAAAAGGAACTTTTAAAAAAACCTTTTGAACTGCATATAGGCCAAAAGTAGCTGACTTTTATAAATGAATTTGAGCATCTGCACCTGTGTTGATTAGAACCTTTACAATGAAGAGGCCCACTTATATAAATGCGGGTGTTAGCAATCATAATAAATCTGGCCACAGACCCAGTGCAATTTCAGCACTTTACCTTTGTTCCAAGACATCTCTAAGGGTACTCATGTTTGGTGCTGCTCCCAGGTAAGTGTAATAAGGACCATCTTCTTTCGCTGAAACTAAAGCCATTCGGAACATGTTATTTACATGGTGACTAAATGAATAACAAGTGGCATTGTCAGTTTACTGTAACATGTAGAAGTGTTTTCTTTAAAAAGAGTCCCGGGGTGAGGGGGGAGGGGTACTCCCTATAATGTCCTATACGGGGATCAGGCTCCACCAGAAAGGGGTACCTTCTTCAGCCTTCAGGATTTTTCACTACTTGATGTAAATGAAAACGGTAGGGAAATCAGTCATTGCAGACTATGAAAGGACCTAAAAGAGCTAACAGGCAGATTTTATAGCTGTGTAAGAGACACGAAAACTTTCTGGCTTAGTGATTTATTGATATTTAAAAGACAGAACATAAACTACCATTTGAAAGGGGTTACATTTGCCAATAATAGGTATAAAGTGATACCTTTTCTGTCCAAAATTTTGTTGAGGACCCCCCACCCTCCTCGGAAAGAGTTAAACTCCCACAGGATTGGCTTGCTACAACAACATGCATGGTCACCTATTTCATAGTTTGAAGTACACCAATATGGCTGTTACAAAATAGGAAATTGCTTTAAAGAAGCCCTGACAACCCCAGCAGCTCCATATCAATACACCATAGAGTAATCAACTGAGTCAGTTTGACCTCCTTGAGGAGTCAGAGATCAGATTCAAACTTACTCTACAAGTGTACCTGTGTATTGGAACTGTTATAGGAGTCATGGAAGTGATTATGAGGGAGATTACAACTGATAACACAGCTGCCCATGGAATGCAGAATTACTGTAGCAACACCATTACAAACAAAATTCAGAGTCATAAAGGAAGGTGAAGGAGTATGAAAATGCAGTTACTTTGACCTCAATGCATCAAATAAAAAGAAGGAAGGTACCAAAATAAATGCAAGAAACTTAGTAAGCTGTTTTGAATACCCTGAAGAAAGAGATGCAAAATGCTACAAAGCATAATGGACACTTCAATACATCTTTTGTAATGCATCACACAGTTCACTAAAAAACGCAGGCCCATAAATTTTTGCTTGGACAACTACCTATGAGCCTAAAGAATCACACTTTTGCCCTTTTACTCAGCTGCAGCTCTGTTTGCCTAATATTCCAGTTGTTTACATAGAGAAAGTGCTTGAGCTTCTATAGGGCAATTATTGCTAGGCACATGAAAATAAAACTGCTGATAACGAAAACAAAAAAGGTGAGATTTTGTTAAGAATTTTGAAAAGCCTTTGTACAAAAACTGGCAAACAAAATATAACATCATGTCAACAAAACACCTTTATTTTTTCTTAAATCTTACACTTGAAAATGTCAAAATTCTTGCAAAGTACGCTGACTTCTTACTACAGAAATACAATGTGGTATTAAAAGGCTTCGGGAAATATAATACATCATTTTTCAGTTATAAACCCATTGGAGAAGGTGGCCGCAACGTTGTCTGCAACTGGGGTACATGTTCGAATAATAGTTACTTCCGGTCGTTTCTATTCTCTGCGTTTGATGGCTTATTCCATAATCTTCTAATATCGCGAAATCAAGGTTCTTCATTTCTTTACCTTTTGCCAGGATTAGGTAAAATTCGATACCATGATTCTTACGATATAAACCAATTAGTGTACTCGGTTCCACCTCGGAGCTGTTAATTTCTATTGTTGCCCTCAAAAATCGAGAACGCGTCTCGACAAATGTGTGCCGTGAGACGTGTGGAGTGGAGCACTCATCAATCATTTAGAAACCAAACAATAGGCCGTGAAACCGACAACTTCCACGTTCGAAGCCATTAGCAAAGGGTAACGTATGCCTCTTTGTTTTCTTTTCCACCTTTTTGCGCCGGTTCATTTCACGTTGCGTCTTTGATGATTTAATGATTTAGGCCGATAACGTGAATTAAAAACTTTCGCGAAAGCTCAAAGGAGTGTGTCGTTTAGGCAGATTAGGAATTAGTACAAAAACTTGACGCTGAATGGCTGAAGGCGCAGTAGTGTACATACGCAAGCGGCTGTTTTGACGGGTGGTTGCGACACATATAAACAAACGGTGATCTCTATCGTAACAAGATACTGATGAAAATTTTGATAAGAAAACCTCTTTAACGTTTAGGGTAATTTTCCGTGTGCAAAACTAATAAATTTCACCGTGGGCTAACCTAAAGGTTTCCGCTCTCAATTTCATGCTTATGTCAACAAATTTCGGGCTGGTACCGCTCGGGTACACTTTAATAAATTTTATTCCAAGCAACCCGTCTTAATCCCCAATTAGGTTTATTTAAACCTTCAAACAAAGCACGTCTTGGGCATTCGTATCTCACGCTATCCACAAAAGCCGAAACGAAAGTAAATAGAGCTCGCGGCACCCCAAAAAAGAGATCAACCAAATTAGTCGAACTCGACTCAGTCGCGGATGGAATATTCACGCCGGCTGGAAGTAAATAAAACCTTTTGGATTTGAATAAGAATACAAGAAGAAAAAAATATGTAAATACCTGGGCAGTTGCAAGAAGGGGGTCCGAAATCGCTCTCACCGCGGGAAGCCGATGGCTTGCTGGTTGTCAATAGCTTTTCAACGCTCGGTTCAACTGCACTAGAAGGCTGCACGACATCTCTTGCTGTTATATTCACACGAACGTCTTTGGGGAGCTCGTCAGATGCGTTGATTTCTGTGTTCTGCAGCTGAGAAGTTTCGACGGCGTTCTGCTCAATTATCGCAGGCGAATCTGCTCTTTGCGGTTTAGATTCCCCAGAATCGCCATCCGTGATAGTTTCATTCTCTGCAACGATGTCGCCAAAGCGCTTCGAGAAAAAAAAATCCAAACCACAACAATAAAGACAAGATATTAGCAAACAACGCTCGCATAAATTGCTCGCGCACAAACTCAGAGGAACAAAAACTCTCCTATTCGTTTACATATGAAAGTCTCCCTTGCCTAAATCAGAATAGAATCATTTTAAGCTACACGTATATAGAAATATCTTACCTTATCTTGCTCCTCGTTACTCACGCGACGCAAGATTTCAGACGCGTCGCTCTCATTAATACCCTGTCGCAACTGAACACCGTCTCGCTTCGTAGCGATGCCCGTTGTCGTTTTCTGCAAAGACAAAATGAATTTATTACTTAAATGTTTTAAAGTTAACAGTTGATAAGCCATGAGCGCAAATGCAAGCGCGAGGACTGTTAGTTTCGAGCGTGAATCAATACATTCGTTCACATAATTCGCACCTTTTTAAGTTCAATGCATTTACGAAACTTGCATATCTGATGACCAGTTTTCCTATTGACACAATTGCTGCACTCCCCACAATTTACTTTTCTCAGACATGGTTCACAACCACCGCATCTCCGTCGCTTTTTACGAGGTACCGTCTCTTCGAAATCACCAGATCGTTTCTCCCCTGGTTCGCTTCGATCGCTCGGAGAAATCGGCCGCTCGACACTGCTTTCCATACTCAACTGATAACAAAAGTCGTAGGACGTCGGAAAAAACTATCACAGCCAACAATCCGTGACATCGATAACACTTGCGGGTAAACTCGGCCAGAGAAGCGGAAAAGCTCTATAATCTGGAACTGAAAATCTTCATAAGTTATTTTTTACTATAGCCAAAGTACTTCCATCAATCGGTAACGATATCAGCAGCGAACGTCAGACAGGCTTGCCGTTGATCAAACACAAATTTCACGCAGCCACAAGCCACTTCCGAGCCAACCAAATGCAAGGTAGGTGGGAATAGTCTGTTTGCGAGCCGACAAATGCACGCCCACGTGGGGTTCGAGGCCGCGAAAATTGATCAAGCGTGACCAATTTGCGCGCGTGCGTCGATGCCGTTGTCAATTTCAAGTCGAAAATAATAATAATAAATTCCGGTCTCCCAAGCCGCAGACAAAATGGCATACGAAATCAGCGTCTATATTTAAAATTTCAGTGGCAAAACGTTTAAATCAAAATAGTTTCAATTTTTGGGTAAAAGAAATTTCTCAATATTCAGTGCTCTTTAGACATACGCAGCGATTTGAGCGAATTTCCTTTCCAACTGCGCCCGGAAAGATACTCAATTTTCTTTTCTTCTGGCACAGCTGTTTAATGTTATCCTAGCCAGCAAAATGTAGCTCAAAATCCAGCACCAAGGATTAGTGTCGGAAATTGCTCATATTTTCAGATCTCATGTAACAGCGTTGAGTTCCGTCGCGAGTAGAGAACGATTCAAAAATCCACAAATATCCACCAGATGGAAATTTAACGTCGGGTCGTTTTGAACACTGAAAATTAGAACATTAAAAATGCAAATTTCCAGGAGATGGAAACGAAAACACTAATCTTAAACTATTTTGGTTGTTCGCTAAACACAGTCGGTGTTTTCGAGCATTGATCGCACCGCGCGGCAGTTCTGTTTTCACGCTTGACTGACAGATTGCGGAAGGAACAGTGCCGCCCTGAACAGGCAACAAAGCAAAAACGACGTGAAAAACATTATAATCGCAATCATCTGTCTCCCGTGAGCTCTTAAGCAAAATAAATTATTCTTTATGCCGAGTTCAAGATAAAGCTGTATAAATTAAACCATTCATTAGTTAAAAAGAGTAAATAATACGATAAAGGACGTCTTGTCGGCCCCTGAGAGAGATAAACCCTCGGGCAAAAGTACGCGCAGTGTTCCATTGTTGATAAACGCAGTTTGACAATTTAGTCATCCGTGACAATATTTAGACTGTCGACACGCACTTCACTAGCGTTGGAAGTATCGTGTTTCTATGGAAACCATCGACCAATAAGTCACCAAAATTTTATAATGATTTTAAAAAGAGCTCCGACTTCGTATCTTGGCGCCGTAGCTCAGTTGGTTAGAGCGCTGGTCTAGTAAACCAGAGGTCAGTGGTTCAAATCCGCTCGGTGCCTATTTACTTTCTTCATTCTCTCAACTTTTTGTAATTCACTACCACAAATAAAACAAAACAGTTAGGGTTGATTTCCACTCTCGCGTAAATTTTTACGTGCTTACACGGTGCGTAAAATTTACGTTCGAAAATGAAATAGAGGCAATCGGCGTGAAGCGTAAAAGCTGGTAAAAGTTGAACCTCGCTCCACTTCTCGTTTAAGCTCAGCACTTTTTATCTTGTCTCTATCTTATTTACGTGATTACAATTTACGTGCGTTTATAACGTGCGCAGCCAAAAATGCGTCAGTGGAAATCAACCTTTAAACTTTATCAATGTTCGTTTTCACCAGATTTTCATAAACACACCAGTTCCCAGATTCTCTCCTTCAAACACTTTACAGAAGAACTTCTCCATTGGGACACCTCCATTCAAGTGACACCTCCATTCACGGGACACAAAATTTGGTCCCGGAAAAAATTCACTTTTACAAAAAAAAATTCAAAAAATATTTACGACACATAATCTTTGTATTTGTTACCTCTGTTAAAGGGAGACGGAAAAGGATCTCAACCTCCATTCAGGGGACACATTAGCACTCGAAAAGTGACTGACCGCTAAAATCGTTGATAAGTTAAGGTGTATACTAATCACAATGGCGAAAACTTTCAAAACATGAACAATCTAACTTAAATTGATGTACTGTACTTGTACGATTCAAAACAAAACGTCACAGAGATTATGTTTTTTATACATAACCTATCTGCTTGAAGTAATGACTGCAGCAGATTCAGAGGGAGAATAGAAGAAAAGAAACCTTTTTTGGTTATTTATTAACAAACCCCAACCCAACCTCCAATCAGGGGACACTTGCCTTGGTCCCGAGGGTGTCCCCTTTTTGATCGTTCATTTAAGCATAAGTTATAAATGCTTACAAATGCTGAAACTTTACCAACCATAAGTCAGCCAGGTAAGAGGATATACGCCAGAAGTTTCCCTTCCGTTAGGGTGGCATCAGTCTCGGTGATGCCCTTCTAAATTACCAACATAAGGTACTCTGAGAGACTCGTCAGCCTTAGTTCCACATAGCTTGTTTAGTTTACTTTATTTTGGCTCAGTTAACCATGAAGTCAGATGACTTTTGTCTACTACACTTAGAATTTTACTACACGGCAGTGAAAGTGCAATCATGATCGTATGTAAGTACGTATGTGATAGTATATATCGTATCGTTCACTTGCATGCGCTTTAGTCAGCACCCAGTAGAAGTTCTTACCTTTATTACTACAACTCTTTTCTTTGTTCTTTCATTCCTTTCATCTGAGACTTAAACGTCACTTGATTTCAAAGCTCTGTTGTTTGAAAGGACGGTTAGATTTTTTGATTTTCTTACTTTCTTGTATCTACGCTTAGGCCTATTGCTTGGTTTTACCATTTTGTACCAGTCCAGTTTCCGACCGTTTCACAAAGATCAATAAATAAATATATAAATATATATATATATAAATAAAGGAAGTGAGTGGTGGGTCATAAGATCCTAGCTAATAATCGAAGAACCAAGGAAGCGAGAAGGCACCAAAGCCCCGGCAAAGCGATCAAACATTTTCTCGGGAAAATGAGTTCTCGAGCTGCCGACTCGGCCAGTTGTGCGTTGGCTCTTGGAGCCTGGAAAAAAGGAAATTGCAACTGCTTAAGGGCGCATTCTGGCCGTTTTTTGGGGAAATGATGTTGATTTGGAAAGGAAATATAGACATGACCGGTTCTAATAGTGTACTAATTATTCACTTCATAGTTTAATTCTTAATAACCCCCAAATCCAATATTTTCCAATTTTTCCAAAATTTTAAACATCTCCACCCCCCCCCCACCCCCCACCTAATTCCTAATTTTATACATTAAAAGCATTCCAAAAATCATCCAAAATTCTCAAACAATTATTGAATTACGAACTGTAACTTAATCGAGTCATTTTTTGATTGAATGAAGTCTTGGCTAAACATTTAAGAAAAAGGGTAGAAATCAACGAAAAATAATGCTTTTAACCGGACTGCGCCCTTAAGTCAGCAGACTGCTCTCAGAAAATGAAAAGAATTTCATTTTTTCAACGTTTTCTCAAATATTTTCGCGGCTTCCCCTCGAGTTTTTAAACCAGATAATACACTCCTGATAGTATTTAAACAGTACTTAAATATTTTGATCCAAAATTTTGCCGATTACAAACAAATGTTTGATCGTGTAGCCACCCTTTCTTAGTGCATGACAAATACAATATTGGACGAAAATGTTTGATCAACCGGGGCTCAAAAATTACTCTCCTGAACCCTGTTTGTACAGTGGTTGAATAGTTGACTAATACGCTATGTAACACAATACTGACGGCTTGATTTATACTACAGTGGAACCTCGTTAACGTTTTGCCATAAAATCCTGGTCGTACTAACGAGGTGGTCGCCTTAACTGGGTCTTAAAACAATAAAATGGCTCAGTGATCAGGGTCGAAACAATATGGTCGTAATAACTAACAGACAAACGAGATGGTAGTACCAGGACAGGGTGGTCAGGCGTAAGGCTAGGTTCCACTGCAGTAGAATTATGCTTTTATAGACTGGCGAGAGGGAAGTTTTTTTTCTCTTTTCGCCCTTTTACTGTTACTTTTAGTTGAATTTCTCCTGATTTAATTTCACGCGTACTTCCTTCGCAAACATGGCCGTTGTTGTTATTTGTGAGTATTTAATTACGATTTTCTTACTTCTTTAATGTCTTCAATACAAGCTATAAATTTGTATGACTTAGGAAGAGATCACATCTACCACGGAAGAGAATTCGCGGAGACATTATGCTATGCATTTGCCATTTGCGACAGCGGAACCTATATTTAAGACGCCTACAATCGACTCTGTTTTCCGCGGGGAGGAATATTATTGTTAAAGTGAAAGTCACTAGACGAGCCCTGACACAATACCACAAAAGAAGCCGGTTGACACTAACCACGGAAAAGTTTGATAATTGAACAACAGTGATTTGGGGAGACTTAGAAATGCAGAGGATGATCCAGAGAGTGACAGAAGCTGAGGAAGAAAAGTAAAACAACAACAACAAAAACAACGAAAAAAGAACTTTATTTAGTAAAATTATAGTCGGAACTTGTATTCTTTTGCTATTGTTAGAAACTATCAATATTACTTAATCGAGTATTAAAAAAAATCTGTAAAAATAGTAAGATTAAAATAAGGTGTTACGTAGCCCCTCATAATTAACAAAACAGTGATCTTCACTTGAGCTGAGCATAAGAACAAAAGGAAGTTCTCCTGAGAAGGCCGATACCGCCAGTGTTGGATGTAATCTACCCAGGATGTCTGATAAGGTTAACATCACACTGATCCTTTAAGCTTAATTTCAAGGATAGCGAAAGTGAAAAAATATAAAAGGATTACAGAAAAAGGTCTGACGTGTTTTAAGTAATTACTTTAATCACTTCCGTCCTATATTATAGAACAATATTGCAATGGTATCGCGCGTCGCGGGAAAGCGTTTGTAAGTTACGACCCTATGACCACAGAAAATAAGAGAATTTCAAATAGTCATCGGTCCTAACGAAACAAAACTTTTCGTCTTAAGATAAAGTGGTGCTTTAAATGTTGTTCAATGACCACAGAACTTATTCTTCGCTAAACCCATATAACATTTCACGATACTTGTAAAGGAAGGATGCCGGGCCTTCAGTTGTAAGCCGCGACTCAGTGGAGCCTTTTAACAATGTAAATGCTGTATATAAGAGAGTAACCACTACAGTGATTTCCTCCATGTGCACTCTGTCTTTCAAGCATGATCGATCGGAAAGTACATGGTGCATAGTTAGATCGATGATGGTGTCTCAGTTCTCTCCTTAGCACTGGATCATTAGAAGTCCCAGGGGGGAAGAATCGAAACTCGTTCTGGAATTTCTTTTCCCTGTCTGGGGGTTTCTTTTTCTCTTTATCGCGTTTGAGGTGAGGGAGGAGTTCCCCTTCCGAAGAATTCTTTTTAGGAACTGGGATCCTCCCACTATGTTTGATGCCCTACACTTTTAGCAGGGAATAAGGACTTGCTCAGAATGTACTTCAATTTATTCTCCAGTTTTACGTTTAATGAGGTCCTGTAGGTTCTCTTAACAGGGCGTGACATGGAGGAGCGGCAGGAAAGGAGACAGGCAGGGGGAAATGAGTCCTCAGCAACACACTTCAATTCACAAACAACGCCATTGACACTTCGAAATAATTTTTTAAGGAGCGGATTCTGAGTTTGTTTATACGTAGATTTATTCGCAGTTACTAGGCGACGACCATTGCGTCTGTTAGAATGATATTAAGACAGAATCCATCAGGAAATTGACTAATTTCAACTTTCAGTGGACAAAACCCTTGTACCAGAATAATTTAAACAGTACCGCACTCTTTTTTACATTTTTCAAGGGCTATAGATATAATTTATCTGTAGCAACACCAAAGACTAATTCTCAAGGGACCCCGATAAAATAAACGTCAAATTTCACATGAATTGTGAAAACACAGGTAAAATTCTGAAAATGTCATGTGAAAGATGCTATTTTGTGAAATTTGACATTCGTTTTCTCGGGCTCCCATAAGAAGTTTTCTTTGGTGTTATTACAGATGACTAATTACATCTTGAAAAGTTTAAAAAAGAATGCAATACGCTTTAAATTATTCTGGTACAAGGTTTTTTTACATTGAAAATTAAAATTACTCAATTTCCTGGTGGATTCCGTCTTAAAATATTTGTAGACACAGGTATTTCTTTTGGTTATTTGGCAATTGAGGCTCTGGTGTGAAATAATGCTAATCTTGTACGATTATTCGCTAAGACTCTTTATTTTCAATTTTGCTGATGGTTTTAACCTCTTACACCAAAGAAGATGGTAATACTTGAAATGGGGTTTTACAGCATACATAACAATTGCTACAATCGTGGTCAAAAGATTACGAGTCTTTCAGTGCCCGAACCAATTTATTTAAGGGGCTGGGGAAGGTCCAAAGGAAATTGTCAAGACATCTATAACAAAAGCTATCTGATACCGCAAGATAAAACGGTCTGAACAAGTTATCAATTCTATATTAAACAAAGATCAAGACGCATTTCATTAACGCTTTAAACCACAGTCTTGTTGAATCGATAAACAAACAAGCAACAAGAAGAATATTACACTGTAATGTATGGACGCCAAAAAAAACCGTAAAACGGCCATAAAACGTTTTGCACTAAAATTTGAAGTAGGGGGCTTAAATACGAAGAAAAGAAAGCAACTGCAAAACGGACAAAAATTGGAGTTTTTCGTGACAAACGAGAATTTCTATATTTTAGTAACTCATAGCTCTTGGCTTTCGTCGGTCCTCTTGTTAGAATAGAAATACAATCCGATTAAAACGCTATAATCAATGATAACCCACCGGATATCGTCAACTCGCCCAGCTACTGGAGTTACGTCGTAAAAATAATATCGAGCCTGTTGCCCTGCACGGCTACGTAGTCATTGCAGTCCACGTATGTTCCTTTAACACAATTTAATAATCAAAAACCTGGATAGAAGAACAATCTCGCGGTTAACCTTGTTCCACAAAGCAATTCATGGTGATGGCGGCCTGGCCTTCCCAGACTATGTTACGAAGCGCAGAAGACATTTAAAGAACTCTAGCCAAAACAAGTTTATTGAACTGCTGCCAAATACTGAGACTTATAAGAATAGTTATTTTTGTAGAACTGTCAACGACTGGAATGCGTTGCCAAGCGAAATTGTTAACATCAAGTCCGCAGATCGTTTCAAAAAGTCTTATTTGAGTATTTTAGTCACTGATGAATTTTAATATTGAATAATGATTGACGCTGTGAAATTAATTATTTCAATTATTATTATTATTATTATTTTTTTTATCCATTTTATCTTTTATAGAATTTTTTTTTTCTTTTTTAACGTCATTACTTTTAATCTTATTCACTTTATTTAGGCGTCTTGCGTGATGGTAACCCCGTTGCAGGACTATAAATTTTTGAATAAAGGTGAATAAAGGTGAAGGCTGTGTGGACTTTTACATAAGCGGAAGGTAACTGTAGCGTTCGGGTTAGATGGCTCACCCTCAGGCAAATTGGCCATAAAGAGCCTTTCCACACGACAACAGCAATGAATAATGAATTTTTAAAACTCTCTTTTTGTTTCAATAAAGGACTGAGCTAAGGAAACCACAGTACCTCTTTTAAATCACTTTTCAAAAGCTTACATTTGAGATTTTTCGTGGACGCCGTTAACTAAGGCGAGGAATTTGTAGTCATGGTAACACTTGAATGCGCTTAGTAAAAGTCTGTTCAGGAAATAGATACTCTCTTGTGATGGAGTTCAGTTCTCCCAATGCAACTTGTGCATGGGTTCGAGTTACAATGTCTGTATCTACTGCCTCTACAAGCTTTAATAACTGGTAAACCTCCTTTAGTATTGAACTGAGAACCTAAAAGGCAACAACAAAGAGTTAACCGTTTGAGTCCCTCTACAATCAAATCTAAAAGATACGTACAAGCCGAAGGCCGATTAGCGCCAACCTGAGATTGAATTTTTATCCGGGTTTTCCTGGGGTAATTTTCTCAATACTTTTAAGATCATCCAATCATCATATTGTAGACAAAAAGAATTAAACTGAATTTGCTTTTTTACCTTTCAAATCTGAGTACAAATTTCGCACTAATCCAGCTTTGAACAACCCAGCCCTAAGAAACTTTCAAGGGAATAATTAGTAAGAGGATCCTATTACGGCTAATTAATCGTTGCTAATTTACGGTTAATAGGACTTCGTGACGCGTTCCGTCCTAAGAACGAAGCCCTAAGAACGTCTGCGTGCAGGACGCTACGGACGGGGCGAGGTCGGACGCTTAATCGAATACATACAGTAAATAAGTTGACAGACGGTGACGGTCACTAGCCTACCGTATTTACGGAAACTGAATCATATTTGCGAAAGCCGCTGCTAATGAAAACGTCAACCAAACTTTCAAGGAGCTAAATGTCACGCTATTTTCCATCTTTTTAAAAAGCTAAAGCGTGTCTTCGCATTAATTTTATTGAATTCCAAAAAAAAATTGTCCAGTTTTGTTATTTACATGTGAGGCTATATTTAGGCATTGAAACTGTTTCCTGTCGTCTATTGCAACGGATGGCAACAACAGACAAGGATTGAAACTTGAAAACATTGGGTCAATTTTTTTAAAACGTAATGATATGCCTGAAAAATTCACCAAAAAAGTATTGTGGTTAGTGCTGTGCAATGACATTTGTTTGATCTCTTCTTCATGACTCTAGCTACAGGAACATTTTTTGTTTGTGTAAAGGCACTAAGTCACTATTTTAAATAAGGAATTGACTTAAAACAGCAATATTCTCGTGACATCGCCCATACAAATTGACCGACTGCTCCCAGTACAGTATATTCTAAACTGCTGCAAATTGCACGCATACAGAACGTCGTCCCCCAAAGGGAACCCTTTAGTTATCATGCTTATTAGTGTTCTCTTCAAACAAGGAGAGCTAAAACTGACATGGCCGGCTCACCTCCATGATATTCTTTCCGAGTCCTCTCAACAGCAAGGTTATAACAAGTACCGAAGCTCTCCTAACTTCAGCAGACTTGTCTGTTTTCAGAACTGCAGACACACAACTAAAAATCTACAAGACAGTAGGAAAAATTTTTTCATGAGTGCATTGTTCTCATGGTGAAGGGAGCAAATAATTTATCAGAATTTAGAAAGCTTGTTACAACAAATTGGGTATGTTATAAAGGCAAAGGAAGGTTAGAAAGTCCTTATTTTACGTCGGTAGTTCGAAATAGTCATCTATAGTCATCTAACTAACAAACCTGAGGCCGACCAAGCGCCCTTTTTAACCATCCCCCCACCCCCCATCCCTCTCTCTCTCCATCAGTGCTCCGTTTTACGGGTATTTATAAAGCTACTTAAAGTTACACGGAAAGGAAAGAAGTCGAAAGAAGGATTAGAGGTCTCACTGCGAATTGAACTCGGGACCTCCCGCACAGAAGGCTGCGCACGAACCAACCGCGCTAATCCTTCCTCCTTATCGTTGACGAAAGTCACTTCGTTATTGATCGTGAATAAAGTTTCCACCGCATTCTGCAGGATTATATCAAGCGATGGCGTCAGTTTGCTGAGAGGGACCATAAGTAACACCAGGGTTGCTAATATGAAAAGTCCCACGAGGAACGGTTGACACAATCCCCGATAAAGACCCGCAGTACGCGGTCAAAACGTGAGTCACCATCGACTATAAAGTGACTATCGTGACACAAACCATACACGGCATACCGCAATGAACAATATGTTTCATTATGTTGTCAAGGTAACAGGAGACTATGTATGGGTATTTCCGACGAGATGGACGTTACGACGATTGCTATTGATGAAACGACGCTCTTAGACTCGCATTCCCATTATGATCAAGGTTGAAGAGGTTAGTTATGCGGCGATGACAGCAAAGTAATCTACCAAAAAGTGAACATGCATGAACATCACAGATTTTCTCGATTCCGTCGTCGTCGTCGTTGTTGCTCAAGCTCGCTAGCAGCGCTACCACACAAAACAATTCTTGATATGCAAGCGATGATTTCGTTAAAAAACCGACTATTTGATGGAAACCACGCGACGGAATCGGCGTTGGTACGTGCCCATAGAGAGCCTCTAACCTACTCCCATCAATAGCTTAGCTCAAACGCTGCACATAAAAGCCACACCTAACACTTGATTCCTTGATTTTTTTCTCAAACGAGAGGGCACCAAAACCAGAAAAAAAAGAACTGATATATGCGGCTATGTACTTATTCAACCCACAACGTTTTAATGGTAAATTACAAACCTCATTTACTACTGAACCCAGCGAGAACCTCAACAATTGACAGACATCACCAAGATTAGAAACACTGCTGGCCCGTACAAGGGGCTCGGGATCTTTCACACCGGTCAATAAGGCTGACAAAAGATGCTGGGAGTATCTAGGGACCAGCTCACCACAGTTTCTAGTCGCCTTGACAAGTGCTTCTCCCAACTTCATCCGGGACTCTGGAGATCTGGGAGGTCTGCTGGATACATGTGAAACTGAAAATAATCAGGAAATAGCACTCGTTTTAGCGTGTTGTGTGAAGAGGCCAGCGATTATATGACATGTCAGGGAATCAGCTTACGAAAAGAATGTAGCTAAGACTTTTAACAAGCGACTTTGCTCGGCTTAAACAAATCTTCTTTCATTTAAAAGAAACAGTTCACCAGACAGTGGTTTCCAGCTGAAAAAATAACGAAAAAAATTTTTATAGGTGTCCACTTCTTTCGCTCTCCATCTGTTGTTAACTTTTTTACAGGGAAAGACGGTGTTTTGTGGACAAGGAAATTACTCAGTTTGTTTGGCCCCCTATGTTCACACTATACCGGAGAGCTTTTCGCAGTGCCGACATGAAAAGCTGTGCGGTATAGTGTAGTGTGAACACCTATCCGATATGTGACGTCACTCAACTTTAGAGATCCGCGCGGCGCAGCTTCGCTCCGTTACAGAAATCGCGCCAAAATCACCGTTCGTATGTGTGAACAGAATCCCTATCCGGTAAATGGTTTTCGCGCCGGCGCAAAAGCTATCCGGTATGGCGTGAACAGAGCCTTAAGCTTCTCGAAACGAAATGAATTAAAGGTAAAAAGATGAAGGCGCACACGAGCCAAAGGCCCCGCAAACCGCGGCCGCAGCTTATCCTGGTTTCCTTAGCGTGAAGCATGCCTAGGAGTATTGCTACTCCCCCCTGGACGGTATGCTAGTCCATCGCGGGGTTACCCCCCAGCAGTATGTCACCCATACCCATTTATACACCTGGGTGAAGACAGACAAAGTGGAGTAAAGTTCCCTGTCTAAGGAAACAACGCGGCGGGCGAGACTTGAACCCCGGACCTCCACATCTGGAGTTTGAGATATTACCCGTCGGCCACACCCGCTTCCATAAAATGAATTAAAGAACCACTAGAACTCGAACAAATGAAAATCCACAAGTTTTCCCATGCTTGACGAAACAAAATTTAAGACGCTCTCTGCAGAAGGCTATTACATAGTAGATTAAAAGAATAGTCATAACTAAAGATAAAACTGATAATGAATATAGTAACAGAAAACTAACCTTTACTGCCTGGTAAATAATAACCTTTCTCTTTTCCTTCTTTGACTTCAGCTGCCATATCCTTTCTGCAAGTGGCGAACTCATGAGTGAGTCGTGGGATAACGGTATCAGCCCTGATATCCGCCAATGAGACAAGTCCTTGTATGGCTGCCAGGTAGATATAAGAGTCATCGTGCGATAACTGTTCTAGAAAAATCTTCAGCAGTGTATCGGCACTTTCCATGGCTTTGGGGTCCCTGCGGCGCAAAAGTGAGGCCAGTTTTATCATGGCGTGACCTCGGACAGGAACCAGAGCATCACACAACTGGGCGAAGGCTTCATCGAATTCTGAACTGACGCTTTCATGAGATTGTTTTTCTGCTGAAAATACAAATTCCACAATTGAGATACGATTTTAGATATTGAAGATGGTTACGTGTAGTTCAGAATGCTAATAAATGATACAATACCTTCAAATGCTGCACTTTCCCTCTTAACTGTATCTTTTGGTTTTCCCAGAGTTTTCGCAGCATCATTGATTCTGTGGCTCCACACAGCACCATGTGTTGCTATGGTAATCCGTAGATCACTGGCCATGTCTTGTACCTCTACCGTTGGATGTTCTTCACAAAGTTTCTCCAATAATGGCAGAAGATCCTCAAAAAGAGGCCTGTCATCTCTTTTGATCTGAAATTAATCATCGAGAAAGCCGTATTTACATTTACTTCCAGAGCTCGAATTTAATTTTCTTTCAATAACATTACACTTTCTCCTGTTGATTTTATACATAATTTCATTTTACTGTCTATTTGTTATTTGTTATTTTTATTTTTATGCACATTCACAGTGATCGCAAACCTTTGTGCATTATAACATATAAATAAATTAATTAGTAAATGTACTATTTTTTTTGTCTTCAAGGTCAAACCTTAGATAACCTTAGATTATCACATCATACCAAAGTCTCTTTATTTTATTTTTAATTTCGGTAAGCACACTTCATGGTCTCACAGTTTGGATTCTTAAATCAGTAGCAAAAAATTCCAATTCCAAGATAGATGAGGCAACATGAGGCAACACACTAGTATCTACGTGTAGTTAGTGACAGATAGTTTTGCAGAAATTAAATTCAATGATCACTGGCGAAGATCTAGTTCAATACACTGGACCTGCACTAGAGATTTTATAAGTTAACTTACTCTTTCTTGAAAGGAATACAGTGTAAGCTCCAACCTAATTTATGGTTTGTGCAGGTCAAAATTGTGACAGGATCATTGAGCTCTAACTGAATGCATCAACAAGATCTACATGTAAGATTACCTCAGCTGCCCCACCCAACAGAGCTGATAGCATCCCTAAGGACATAGTCAGTGTCTCTGTAAGGAATTCAGTAGCCAGACCCTTCTCATCTGCTTCAAGAACAGTGCAAGCACGCTTCAGTGTGGATTGTATGAAGGCCAGCATCTGTGAAGTGTTCTTCAGAATAGAAGGTCCCAGTTTCTCACACATCAAAGCAACAAGATGGAGGATCAAGAGACTCTGCTGAGTGCCTGCAAAAAGCCAATTATTTATTAAAAAATGAATCATGGAAAGCTATATGTAATATTTCCGAGCTAAAGATTTGTGGTTGTGGTGTTTTATCAAATAACTCGAGCTCAAACACAGGATACGTAGAAACACCTACAGCCACCCCCCTGGCGGCCACCCCTCTAACAATCACAAAAATATGACGGGATAGAGAAAGTTACATCATATATTCAATATGTGCAAAGAAAAACAGCAGAGTAACTTAATGAAAGAACTTCTTCTCCCTTCATAAGATATTCATGCCATCACCAGAAACACTTATTACTTGAAAAGTGATTATGGCCTGATCCTCGTATGAATGCCACGTGGTAAAAGAACCATAATTATAGCAAACTGGCAATTTAGGACTGGGGTGAAACAAAATTTGTGACCTGTATGAAATTCTTGAAGCTCATTGGCTGATTAGAATGTGTTACTGGCCTACAGTACACAGTGCATTTTTAATGACTTTTCATCATGCACTTGGCTACCCATCATACATACATGCATTATTACCACCAAAAATATTTCACACTTTCATCTTAAGGATTTAATTTAAAATAAAGATAAAGACAAAAATATTTTATCTGTATACATGTAACACTAAAACCATAACATAATTTTAACCCATTTGCCCCCGAACCGCCCGTAACCGCCCGTGCGGATCCAGGTCCTTTCTACCCTTTGTGACGTCATCAGTTTTAACGGTCAAGGACAACTTTCTTCGCTAACTTGTGCAGAGTGAACAGATCTTTCAAACCATACCAGAATGAGCACAATTCAGTCAAGGACACCGGAGAAAGAAGCAAAAAACCACGTGACATTGACCTGAAAATCTCCATGAAAATCTTGTTCCATTACCCACCTACCTTTCCTTTCACCTAATCCTAAGATCCTAAAAGCTTTCCTAAAAACTCTTCCCACCAAAATGAAGCCTACTAAATGCCCAGCAAGAGAAAAAAAAATGAGGCAAGAAAAGCGAAAAAAGAAGGGAGGAGAGAAAGCGAAAAGTAAAAGTCAAGACTGCTGTGTCACTTTTAAATCCAAAAACTCGTCGAAATTTTGCTTTCTGCGCATGCCCGAACTTCGCAAGCTGATAGTTTGCATCTGGATCAGAAGGCCGCCAAGTGTACGACCTGTAAACCGGTTGTGGTAAGTTTTAGCTCTTTATACCACGACAGTGACCAGAAAACCACTCGACTAGCTTCAAAACGCGTTTTTCGGCAAAATCTCCAGGAGCAAATGGGTTAAAGTGCTGAAAAATAAACTGACAAACATGAAAACATAACAAATAGTACACCCAAAGAAAATAAAAAAAAATCGCAATATCTTGACAACCAATGATTCACCTGATTGACCCTGATTGAGCCTGCCAAAAAAACCTGAACATCCTGGATACTTCTGATAGCTACAGAAACAGCCAAAACTAGTGAAGGAGTTTGTTCAAATCATGCCAAAATCTACACAAAATTATTTTATCACCGAAAAATGTTTCAAACAAAGGTTTGTTTCTACGAGTAGAACACCAAAGTTGACTGTGTACATCACAATGTAAGTCTACATAATACAAACTAATCAATTATGGACTCGAAAGGTGGAAATTATCGGATTCAACAGCATGCGTAAGTTGCATTAGACACCGTTGACAAACATTTATGAATCTGCCCCTGAATCTCTAAACCCTAAAACACAAGTTGCAAATCATCAGTACCATGCACACTTGAGAAAAAATCTTACCTTGTGTCTCCATGTCCCCTGAGAAATTTGCTATGAGAGTTGTTAATTCTTGCACCAAATATAAAAAGAAGTCTCCGGCAAGACTGTCCTTCTTCAGTGCACTCAAAAGTTCCACAATGCACAGTGCTCGCACCTCACTGTGACTCAGTTCATCACGTTGTAAAGAGTTTAAGATGCCATCAGCAGTTCTACTTTCATCATCATTATTACTTTTATATTTGATTATCACTCCACCGTTGTCTCCATGAGCAAATACAAAATGGTCACTCATAAGATTTACAGAAATATCTTCTTTGTCATTCTTCATGTTATTTGGGTCAAAATCAAGAGAAGATTTTGTTAATATAAGGTTCTGTAGTTGGTTCTGCTTGAAAGCCAAAGTATACAACATTCTAAGGGCTGTACATGACTCAGCATGTTTTAACATGTGGACCAATATTTCTCGAAGTGCAGACCTGAAATAAAAGAGAAGGCTGAGAAATGGTCCATTGTTTTCCTAATAAAATTATTTAGCCTGCAATACAGGCAGTTATCGAGAGGCAAAGAAAATTGCTTGTTTATGTTTGTAATGTGATGGCCATGCACCATCTTAATATAAATAAATTACAACCCTTGGGGTTGATTACGGCAAAAGAACGAGGCAGGGGAGGGGAAGGGGAGAAAAAAAATACACCTGCCCAATCTCATTGTTTATTTGCAAACTCTGTAACTTGGCAAACAGAGCATCTGATTAGTAGAGTACAGCACTAATGAATTAACACCTGGTAGTCAATTGTAAGTTAATGGATTTCTTTTGCTACAGCAACGATGTATTTTTTCATTTTGCTGTTGAGAACATCTCTCATCTCAGCTGGATGTGGTTCATAAATCATGGGCTTAAGAGGGTAGCAAAGTATCCTTCTACACTCTCATCAAGAAATCTCCTAACAGTCCATCTAACTGGCTTTGGAAAGTGCCTGATTTTTTACCTTCTTGTTTATGTAGGGGACATTTTGACAAAGCTTCACAGATGTTGTCACCAATGAAGTGATAGTTTATAGCAGAGGGGCATTTCCTCCTCTAAAAGCCATCATGGTTAAAGTAAAATTTTAGGCACACACAATTTGGAGACATTGAAACCTTCATGGTTAGGTCGAAATTAGCTGCACAAGAAATTGAAAGTGATTCATGAGAAACAAATAATTCTACAATGACAAAAAGAAAATAATGCAATGTCATTCTGTTGATCTACTAACAATGTCATAAATCTACACATAAAAAGGCAAGAAACATTACATTTACAACCATAGCAATCAAATTCTAGTCAGAGGGAAACATAGTAATTTTGTCAGCATTTTGATTTTGGACTGCCTTCCAGAATATAACTATTAGTAATAAGGCAGGCCAGTCAAAATGTTTTACAGCTGTAGGCAGGATAACTACAGAAACAGGCAGCAAAGACCTAAATTTGTGTGGCTGTTTTTTAACACTGTCAAACCCCGTTTTGTAATAAGCAGGTTGAATTTAGAGAAAACATAAGGGCTTTCTTTCCCCAAGGGGGAAAGCAAACTGTCCATAATTATATCAGGTGTCTGTAATGCGGGGTTAGACTGTATTACTAAACCTAAGTGTTGATTAGATGGCAAATATGTCACTTAAAGTTGCAAAATTGCTTGCTGACACCACATTTTGACTGGGCTGATAAGGGGTTTTTCTCATTTTCACAGTGTTTTCAGGCAGGCTTTCTCTTTTCTCTCCCATCTCTTCTCTATACTTGCCCTCCTCATGGATAGCTATTTTTAATAGTCTCTTTAAAATCCCTTTACACAAAGAATTATTTAACAAAATTCAAAAAAAAATTTCAAGTAAAGCAAATCTTGCTGTGCTTACCTAAGATGAGACACACCTCTTCTTGTGAAACAAAAGAGCTCAAAAACAGGATGAACAACTGCTGACAGAAACTTTAAACCACTGAAGTGTGATCCAACAACAAAAACCTAAGAGATGAAGAACTTTATTTTAGAAAACCTTAAGTGGACAGACTAATTGACAGCTAAAACTTTCCAAACCAAACTTGCAGAACCTCTGTCCTTATGCCTCTTGGGCGAGGTCATCACTTCTCAAAGGAAAATGATACTGATGCAAAATCTGTTCAGGATATATGAAAAGGTCCTCCAAAGCAAGTCCAAGGGAGAGGAAGGTTCAGTCAAACAAATCACAGGTTCAGACAAAACAACGATACCATGCAGGAAATATCATACAATGTTCTGGATACCACAAAAACAGGATTAAGCTCACAACTCAAACTTTGGATTTTGTCTAGTACCTTGTGAATATCTTCAACACATCTCATTACGGCAAATTCATCAACAAACAGAACTGAAACATCCCCTAAGTATAGAAAAAAAGTAGTTCAAACCAATTGCACTTTAAAGCAAAGGCTGTTTGAATTTGTCCCTGTTAATAATAGACTAGCCTCCCACGCAGACATTCTCAAGGGTTATCACGCATCCCTGTTCTTTGGCCGTTTGCTTTTGTTTAAAGAAACCAATCAGCATTGACTGATTGTAAAGCGTAAAGCCAATCACATGCTCTAAAGGAAGGGAAATCAACATCTGTGGTTCACCTGTGACGTAATTTTTGCGATAACTTCTCACCAAAGTATCCATCATATTCCATGTTCTTATTCAGCTCTTAAGAAGGTTATTCAGAAAGATTTCTTTGTGCTTCTATCTTGGGGAAAGACAGGGTTTGATTTTGGATTCAGTGCTATCAATATTAAAGGCCTAATCAAAAGAGTGATTATTGAGCAATCTTTTCATCTGCAGGGCACAAGGATTGCACATGTTTTCGTCCACTGAGTACAAACTGTACCAAGCCAATTTTTGCCCCCTACAAAAAAGATACGGCGACGAACAAATAACCCACCTATCATACATTTCATAAGACTAGTGCAAAAAGTCTGAATAGGAATATAATTTCACAAATTGTACAAAAATGCACATTCCCAGTCCATTCTAATAAGACTTTAAGGGCTTAAACTGTTTGCTTCACCAACTTCTCTATAATTTTCAGTTCACTTGTCTTAAATTGATAGTTAATTATTGCATAAAACATAGAGCACTTTATGTAAAATAACCTTTAAATTCTCTGAGCTATGATTTTGGACAACCAGAAAGCATCCAAAAAATCTTTCCAGTCTACTACATTCAAAGTTGAAGAAAATTCAAGGACTTTTCAAGGACATGCACAGAAATTTAAGGACTTTTCAAGGACTTGCACAGAAATTTAAGGACTTTTCAAGGACTTCCCCTAAAATTCAAGGACTTTTCAAGACTGTGCAAACCCTGTAATAGAGGCGGTAAGAATTCCAAGATTTGCCTGCTTGTGGACCTGGTCTTTGATACAATTTCCAAGCCACAAAACCACAACAACAACATGGCCAGCAGTTTCAAAAATTGAGTTGAAAACAAACGGTAAAGCTTGATAAATAATCGACTTGGCACATCCAGTTAGGAGATTTCTTCTTCTGCAAAAATTGGACTAAAGCTTCTTTTTGATACGGTTTCAACTCCCTAATACCAAACGTTTCAGACATCATGGCACTTAACCTTTTTTAGTCTGCTAGCTTGTCCCGAGTAATATTTTAAGTAACAAACACGAGTTTACCCAAAGTTGGAAAATGGACTTTGATTGGTCCTTATCTACGAACGGAAGTGGCTGCTCATTTCAGCAAATGTTCATGGGGCAGGAACATATGACAAACCCCTAGAAACATCTGCATGAGAGGCTAGTTATAGACCAGCTGCATAAAATAATATTGTGCTCTGCAACATCCATATCCCCGACATAATTTGAAGGTTTATTGGTTTGACCCCTTCACACCCCTCAGTTTAGGCTTGACATCATCCACTACTCCACAGCAGTCACAACATTCCAATCGTACATATAACAATTCACACATATACATGTACTGGTACCTTCAATCTCCTTGGTGGTTTTTGCTAAAGGTTCTAGAATCAAAGATAGGATGTACTTCTGTGCCAGTTCAGGGTACTGAGCTAACATCTCTCTGATAATACTTGAAGCAGCTCTGATGAACAATCGACCAACACCAGCATTTTGTCCACGCAACAACTCTAACACCTGTTGACAGGAAAATTTGCAGAATACTATATTTTTAATATCAGGAGAAACATTTTAGTTGTCCAATAAGCCTTTGTCCCTGTATGTGTACTTGTTGTGTTGAGATCACAAGCAGGAAATTGCCAGTATTTTTGTTGATGCTGATCTTTGTCTGATCTAAAACAACTAATCAGATTTGTTCTTATCCACACATAATTATTTTCTTTTTTTAGCCTGAGGAAAAGTACCAGCCATGAGAATGTTTCATCATATTTCTTGCTAATATCAGAATATCCTTAATCAGGAATGGTGTCAATTTTTCAAGGCATCCACAAAGTAAGATTCCACCAACATACGACAGTTGACTCCTTAAAACTTGAACCGTCACTAACTTGTAGTAATTTTTGCACATGACAAGTCAAAAAAAGCAGTGAGCTGTAGTTCGATACATCTATGAATAGATTTCAAAACAACCATGTATTATTTATCTTTACTTTTTTTGTCAAATTAAATACAATGTTTAGCCATGTACTGATTAATCAAGGTTGGTTAGAATTCCTCCTTCAAAATAGAAATATACCTCTTGCTGCCCTTGAAGCGAAGTGAGCATGATACTTGCACTCCTCCCCCATCCCATTTCCTTACAGCATGTTCATTAGGCATCAGAGATCGAAGAATTCTTTAATATGTACTAAGCAGAATTCTCTGGCTACCATTTGGTAGCATATGACAATTTTAACTCAGACATGGGGACTCATTCAAAATATTCTGCTGTAATGTTACACCTTTCTGATCTCCTGCTACTAGAATTCTTAATGAACACCCTGAGTTATTTGCTTTGATCTCCCAACAACTTAAACTTTTTTCAATTTCCCTTGAATGTTCAAGTTGTTGGGAGTCAACTATAGTTTCATTTGTCTGCTGCCATTAAATCTGTTGAAAATGCATTTAATGAGGTGCCGTCCATATCCAGTTGGTATAGTGTAGGAGAAGCTTCTGTGACTGAACTACTACAACTTATAGTAAAGAAAGACATTTTGACTGCCCAACAATCATTTTCAAGTTTAGAAGTAACAAATTAGCATGTGCTTATATACAATTATTGTGAAAGGGCTAAAGAGATACTGACTAAAAAACTCTAAGATATCTACAAAGAAACAATGCAAGAAAAATTACAGCATGAATGATAACAGAAACGCTAAAACAATAAAAACTATATAAGATATAAATTGAAAATTGAAAGAATTAAATAAATAGCTTTGCACGGATCGAGTCACACTGTTTGTTCAGTTTTGGTTTGAATTCACAAATAATACTACTAATAATAACAATGTTTTATTAAATTAACAGCATTTCCATAAAAAAGTGGCTCTACATCTGCTAATAAAATATAGAATACATAGTATATATTCAGCTAGAAGAAAAAATACATTATTAAATCAGGAGCAGAAACGTGCGTGGTAGAAAAAAAACTAAATCACCACCTAACTGTGGTTTTAAAAAGAAACTGTATTTGGAACGTACTATTACATGTACATTACTACAATTTGCTTCCGTCTTTTAAACTAGTGAAGGAAAAAGACCCAAAATTTGTGCAAGATTTCACTGGAGCAGGTAGGGAGTTGAATAGTTTGGACTCACAGTCCCGGAAGGTATTCAATTCCAGCGGTATTACTGGGTATATTATTGTCTCACTAGAGCATAGTGTCCTAGAGTAGCTAATAGTTTCTAAAGTCATATTTCTTGGCCAGTGTTCATGGAGATGCCAGTCATGTTGCCCCCTCATAGGCAACAAGCCCAATTTAAGTATAGTATCCACAGAGTTCACATAACGACCTGTAATAAAGCTTGCAGCTGAAAACTGGAGGCACTGAAGCCTTTTGAGTAGGTTTTCACTGAGCGGTAGAGGCTGACGTCAAGGTGCGTTGAATAAACAGCATTTCAAAGATCAAGCAATTGAGTTTGCTCTGACACTTTTTTAAGATTTTGAAATTGCTTGTGATGGTCTCCAGATCCTTTCCATGCTTAAAAGGAGAAGGAACTCTCCTCCATCGTGCAAAGAATTCTACTGAAAACCCATTGCTGACCCACTGATCCAAAAGGATTCTAGGCTCACACACCTTTATGGCTACCAAGGACCAATAAGAAGAAACTAGCAGTCTATCCAATCCATTTGTCTGTCAGCAACAAGAACTTAAGCTACAAACTTGTTAGCTGGCTAGATGAAAACCTAAAACCTTTGTCAATCAACGACTACACTGTTACTGACATCTTCTCATTTGCTGATGATCTTCATGAGATGAAAATCGACCAACACGACAATTTAGTGTTATATAATGTTTTGTGTCTTTTCACAAATGTACCAGTGGATGAAACAGTCAAAATCAAAGCGGAGAAAGCTTTTAAAGATGCTTTGTTTAACAAGGAATATGACCTTAACATCACAAAAACTGACCTTCTAGAGCTGTTAGAGGTTGCTACAAAAAACCAGCTTTTTTAATTCGTAGGAAATTTGTATGAACAAGTGGACGGGGTTGCTATGGGCTCTCCTCTCATGCATTTATGTGCAATATCGAAGAACAATTGACAAACTAAAACAAGATGCCTGCTTTCTATAACCGCTTTGTCAATAACACCCTCAGCAAAATGGCCAAGGTTTCATCTGTCTCTGAATTCTTGTTGACAGAATGAAATGCACCCCTCAATCACTTTCATAATGGAACTCAAAGACAACAGCAAACTTCCCTTTCTTGGAATGGTGATTATTACAAATGGTCCCCGACTAAACGTGAAGGTCTACGTGAACCAACCGATATTGGGCTTGATGTCAAGAACAAACATCCTCTGCTGAAGACATTACGTTAAACTGGGCATTTAAACTCTCTTCTACTTGGCAGTTTTTCCATCAGGGATGTGAACGTCTCAAAAAGGTTTCTGCTCGCTTGCAATTATCCTGACACTGTCGTAGAGAACACCATCAGACACTTTATTGACATGAAGATTACTGAGAATGCATGTTCTAAACAATGGGTATCCGATGAACAAGATGCTCCATTCAGAATCGTCTTACCTTTCAAAGACCAGAAATCAGTGAATGCACTAAGACACCAACTCAGTGACCTCAGTCAAAAGATTGATGCTGGTGTCCAGCCTGTCTACACAAGTCAGGAGATCAAAGGAAAAATCAAACCAAAGGAACATTAACCTCCAATAACCTCCATTATTGTGAAACAACAAAACGCTGCTTATTATTTCAAGTGTGGTCAGACTGTTTGATGCAGACTAAGTCGGCTCCCTGAGTCAACACTTACATAAACGCGTGGAGGAAAACAAGCAATAAACATTCGTCAGCCACATAAAGGATGAGCATGGAAAGGATCTGGAGACCGTTACAAGCAATTTCAAAATCTTAAAGTCAGAGCAAACTGGACTGCTTGACCTTTGAAATGCTCTTTATTCATGAACTCAAACCAAAACTGAACAAACAGTGTGACTTGATCCATGCAAAGCTATTTATATTATAATTACAGTGAAACCTCTATTAAGCGGACACCTTCGGGACCTTCCCAAGTGTCCACTTAACAGAGGGTGTCTGCTGAAAGGAGGTTGTAAAAGTTGTACAATGTTTGTTAGCAATCAACATTCAATGGTTAGTCTGTACTGTGATAAAGTTCCATGTTGTTAAAGAAGCTATCCAGAATTCAAGTTCATTACCTTTCATTACCAACTTTAATTTGGTTGTAAATGCAAAAACATTAACTGACTTCAGTACGTATTTCAAGGACGTAATCCAAAACTACTATTGTCAATTGAGTCCAGTGTCCGCTTGATAGAGGTTTTTAACAATAGAAATTAGCCAAATACAACTTATTTTAGTGTCCATGTCCGCTTAATAGAGGTGATCGCTGAATAGGGGTTCGTTATAAAGGGAAATATAACATGTCAATTTCGGGACCTGGCTTAGTGTCCGCTTAATAGAAGGTGTCCGCTTAATTGGGGGTCCACTTAATAGAGGTTTCACTGTAAATTATTTCACTTTAAAATATCCTTTATTGTTTTTATCATTTTAGCGTTTCTTGTATTGTTTCCAGGTAAATATTTTAGAGGTTTTTAGTCAGTAGCTCATTAGCCCTTTGAGAATTATTGTATATAAGCACATGCAAATTTTTTACTTCTGAACTTGAAAATGACCACTGGTTTGTCGAAACATCGTTTCTTTTTTAACATTAATTTTTATAGTGAAATCCATTTGGAAAGATTTGTTAGTTGATTAGGTCATCTTTATTAATTCAGTCTGAAAAAAGATTGAATCTTTTTAATATGGTAAATTGACTTTACTAACTCAAAGATATCTTTATCTGCAGTTTAGATATATTGATCATTTAATTCATATATTATTTTAAAGTCACACTTTATCAACTCAGTTGATAACACCACATTTTTATCCTTCACTCAAAAACCAATGCCCCATCAATGTCACACCACAGCTTCTTTGAAAACTACCCCTAGTTCACTTAACCCATTAAGCCCCAATATCAAAATACAAATTTTCCAAACTGATCTCCATACATTTCTTTTATGAATTAGTTAGAAGAATTTGATAAAAGATCAAAGCATTGTCCTTTGATGATCATTTTATTAGTTCTCACACTTTTTCTCTTAATAATGCATTGATATTTTACAATTATTCCACGAGGGCGCGTTGGATATGAGATGATAGATAGCCAAAGAGGCGCCGAGTTGGCTATAATCATCTCATATCCAACAAGCGCGAGTGGAATAATTGTTTTATTAAAAACGCCCACAAAATACTAGAACAAACCGGAAAAGACAAGCAACTTCCGCTATTCACATGTCACACATCTATCAAAACTGTCAACGCGCAAACGGACTCGCCTGGACTGCATGAATGAAAAATCAAAACATTGTAGCGATGAACATTAGTTTTTTAAAAACTCATCGGGATTCTAGGATTTTACACAGCAGAACAGCTAAAAAAACCTGGCAGATAATGTGAAGGAAAAGAATTTTTAAGTGACAGCCGTCGAAATCACTGTGAATTTGGATTTTCGGTGCAGTTATAAAAGTAAGAACAATGGAGAAAAACTATTACCTTGGTCACTTGTTATGAAGTTGTTTGAAGCCACAAGCTGGTTTTGCTGAACGAGAAAAGAAGCTGTACTGCCGCCTCGATTGCTCTAGTGAATGGCTGCATAGCCTGTATTTGTAGCTGGTTACTTGTGATTTATATTCTTAATGTCGGATAAACAAGCCGCAGTTATCTATCGGCGAGTGACTCGATCGGCGAATGGCTTCGCGATCATGAAGAAACAACACTTGCCTTCTTTCATAGCTGGTCAGGGTACTTTTTGTTCCATGTGTTTTCATGTGTTTTTCGACAAACTTTCAAACAAGCTCTTGTGGCTAGCTTTTTTGTTTGTTTCTGTCTTTTTTCTTTCGATGAAATTGCATTTCTAGTATTCTAAGAAATGAATTAAAACGATTTGCTTCAGGCGCCGTTCTATCCTTCGCGAAAAAAAAAATCTCAGCTAGCATCCAATTTTAAACTGACGCGTACACTGACCATATATGGAGAGCATGGTATATTAGCTCATATACCATAATGGCTAAGCCAATCAAAATGCTAGAATTGCATTATCCAATGGTTCAGTTTTTAATAATGGTCATTATTGTCTAGTATTTAAAAACCACCTCACCTGTGAAGATACTAACTGGTAGTATTGTTCAACGGATTCCGCCTTACTTGGACAGTTAGCAATCACCTTAGCAATAACATCACACTTCTGCCAATCAGGTGAATCAGCTTGTCCTGAAATTACCAAAGACAACTAAGCAGATGACAGAGACATCAAACACAATAGACCTTACCATGGTTTTGGAATCCATCTTGATGGGTAGGCAACCATGTGAGAAATTACAGTGTTTATACAAGGATCTAATGTCGAATAATTTCCATAAAAAACACTGATCTGAAAAAAATATGAATTGTAAACTAAAGCTTCATTCCTAAAGATTCTACTGAAAAAACTTGAGGGTGTTACCTGCACTAGAACCACTTTTTAAAATTTTTTATACATTTGTCTGTAAAATGTTTTTTTTCCTGCATACTCATATTTTTCAGGAAAAATTGCAAACAAATATATGTACCGGTACATGGAAAATCTAATAAAAGCAACAGTGTAGAAATTTAAGCACAGGCACAGCCTCCAAAATTTGTTAGTAGAATCCTTTGCTGCATAGCTTTGCTTTACAATTCCTACTTTCTTCAGAACAGTCGTTTCAAGAAAGTTATTGGACATTATTCTCTTACAAACACTGTTATTTTTCATGCGGTTGCCTACCTGACAAGATGGCTTCCAAAACCGTCATAAGGTCTATGTGCAATTAACATGACTTGACTTAGTTTTGTTGATTTAATTTGGTACTATTATAGTAGTGTGACTACTGTAACCGGGATCACCTGGACAAAGTTGAAAAATAGGATTACAGGAAAATAACAATACATTTCCAAGAAAGTTGGTTGTGGGCTAATCAGCAGCTCATAAGAAAACAATATGTTACTCGAAGCACAAAAATTAAATATTGATAGCAAATGTTCTTCAAGAAAGCAAAATGTTTCACCAGACAATGTTTTTCTATTTGAAACTTTAAATATAACACCCAGGAGACATATTTGTTTGATACAAGCTGTTATTTTGTCATCTCCCAGCAATTTCTCCGCTACCATTGCCACATTTTGCAATAACTAGTGACCTCAAGTCATTGTTGATTTTGTGTCATGGTAATTACGATTGACAACTAGCTTTCTCGGAATGTACTGTTATTTTCCTGTCATCTAATAATTTATTGGTCGACTTTGTCTAGGTTACCCCGGTTATAGCAATCGCACAGTAATAAAACAATAACACTTATTACAAAAGTTGATTATCAGCATTGACAACCTGCCAATCCTTCAAGAAATCCATGTAAAACTGCTTTGACTCCATTTGGTTTCATTAGCCTTTCAGAGAGAAGCTGTCCACAAATATTTGTCATCCACTTGGGAGTTTGTGACAACAACACTGATTGTTTCTTTCCGCCCGTTTTCTTGTTTTCTCCTGAAATACTTGATCTCTCATTATCTTTAACAGATTGTTTGCTAGCATGTGCTCGACTTCCTTGAAGTAGCAGAAGTTCTTGTATTACTATTGGTTGATAGACACGATCAAGAATTCTCTCCAGATTGCAGATACACTTCTCTCTTTCAACAGAAGTTATAAATAATCCACCATCCAATTCAACAGATTTGCATGACACTTTACATGCATCATATGGGTGTAATTGGACACTAGAATTACTATTTGGAATTGGTGATACTGCCTCTGAGTCATGAATTTCCACACTTTTCTGACTTTCATCTAACAGCCCAGTATCGTCAGTTGAATGTCTGTTTACTTCACAACATGTTGAACTGCTTATGTTGCTGTAAGTGTCATTATTAGCATTTGAATAAGCTGACACAGGGGCATAACAAATCTGTATTAAACCAGACAAAATGTCTCCCAGATGTCTGGATAAAACAAGAGAACCCAGTGAAGGCTGTGCTACACAGTCAACCAGTGTATCTACGCATTCAAATAGACGTCGTTCACTCTTAATCGTACACTGAATGTTTAGTACACTGGTAAATCCTGAACGCTTTTCCAGCGGTATTCCAACACCTGGGAGAAGATTAGGCGAAATGCCTAAAATCACCACAAACTGGATAGCTGTTAGCACTGTTTTTTGATCCCCAACACTTAACGAATCTGCAGGCAAACGAGGAGCATCGTTACCACGTTTGCCATGAGCTGACTCCTCTCCACTTCCCTCGCCTTCTCTTTTCAGTTCAATCAAGGATTCTTTCAGAAGTTTTAGAAGTTCAAGGCAAGTTTTAACATAACACCACCTTAGAGAATCTTTGTCTCGCGTTACAGCTGTCTTGTATAGCTTACATTCCTCTTCGTGGTTGTCTTTTGTTGATTTGTCTTTCGTGCAAACCCCTCTGTTTGCATCTGCAATCGCACTGTCATCAGATTTCACGTGCGCGTTTATTTGACTTTCCAAGCCCTCTTGTAAGTGTAAAAATCGGCCTTTTTCGACAAAAGAGTTTCTCAATTGCTCCATATTTGACAAAAGAACTTGATCAAATTCCGTCCTCCTTCGTGGCGATGAGGCAGGATTCGAGGGGCTTGAGGTTAAGTCTCGTAAAAACGAGAGCACTTCTTTGTAAGGCGCCATCTTGAAACTCGTTGCTTTGTCAGTGTAAGGCACACGAAATATCGCTTGCCACTGACCATTTGGGGATAACCGACGAGAGTGTCGACGAGAGTGATGAAGGTAAGCGCGAAGAGGACGAGGTGTGCTCACCTGAAAAAAGCGAAAAAATATCGCCTATTATGCAGGCTACTCTGTCTATGTCTTCCCCCGCCTTTTTTACTTCTGGGATTGTGCTAAAAAGCCGAGGGCCTAGAAGGGGACTCGGTATAGCAGCTAAAAAAAAGGAGGCAACAGAACTTCGTTTTGAGTTATGGGTAGACTGCAAAAGAGTAGGTTTTCCACTGTTTCTTTCTCTCAGGACTCGCATTCCAGAGGGTGTTTCTAACAGGTTTCACTGTTGCAGTGGTAACTTATGACGTCATGGAAATGAACACATAAGGTATCAACTGCAAAAAAAGTGGGGGTAGTATCAGGGGCACCCAACGTCAATTTTTGGAAAATATCTGTTCGGAAGACGATTTGAGATCTAGAATTTTCGGAACATTTGTTATCAAATTTCTTGCTTGCCTGCCTCTCCTCGGATTTTCGAACATCTAAAAAAATGGTATAATTGGCCATTTTTAACGGATTAGTTACCCTAAAAAGGTCACCTAGAATTTTCGTGAGCCTTTTTTCTGGCGAAATTTCCGAAAAGGTAAGTTTTGATCCCTATAATTCCCGGATCACTAGACTTTCAGCTAGGAAATCCGAACGGATAAAAAACTTTTAGGGGATAAAAATATGCTTATATCTACCGTTTAAATACTAAAATACGTTTAATAATGCTATGTTTAAGTGGTTTTGAACTACATTCTCGTTGGGTGCCTCTGTAGTATTGTTCCACATAAGTATAAGTCATCTGAGAAGTTCTGACAAATGCTAGAAACTAAGGCCAGCCTGACCGATCCACCCTCCCTGCCCTCATTCCTCTCCCAACCCTTCTGTACGACGCAGGATCTCATATATTTACGCAACGGTTACGGCACCATCTGAAGAAGCCTCTTTGCCCCAGGCTGAGGAACGCGCCAGATGATGTACGAGTAGCTAAAAAGATAAAAGGAAAAAATATATGTTTCTTGCCACAGTCACCCGTGCGCCCACCTTTTCTAAAAGAAGAATTTATATTTTTTGTTTACCCAGTTGAAGACAAATTTTCGGAGGGAGAGAAGCGACGACCGGAAATACGTCTGCACTTCGCCGTCTAAAGACAATGAGGGATCCATTTAAAACTTGAGAGTCGCCGCGAAGGAGAAAGTTCATGGACGAAAGCCGGACTCAACATTAAACACTTGTCGCATCAGCTCCACGTTCTCGGTTAGTCGCACGGAAAATCGCATATAAATAGCGTTCGAGAGGGATTCCTTTCCGTAAACTTCAAAGCCTTTCATTTTAATTGACACGCTGGACTGGTTCAATTTCTCAGTTGAGGTGGGTAGGGTGGCCGAGCAGGGCAGAGTACTGGACTGGCAATGTGGAATCTCCGATCGCCCTGACCGCTAACCAAATTTGCGTTCGGCAGCCCCGAGTTGAACTCCTAAGCAACACTTATAAACTGCCGGCCAGTGATCACGAGTAATTTGCTCGGCATCACAAACTCTCCTTGCTGAGGCGCTCATGGAGGTTCCCAACGGTACACGAAGTTGACCTAACCACTGTCCCGGTAGCCTGAGAAAACAGCCGCCAATGGTTTGGCGACGCTACCACTGGTTTCCCCGCCAAATGACATTTGGCGGGGAAACCAGTAGTAGCGTCGCCAAATATCGGCTATTTTCTCGGGCATCCCGGGGAAACTCTTCATGTACTCTTGCTCAAAAGTGAGTTAAACCCCTAGAGGAAACCTTTCTGGGTGTATGGCTTAGCCTTTATATAACCCCTATAGGATATCATTACTACCAAAGGAGTGTTGTTCTTTAAAGTGATCTTTTCTTTTCACTGCCCTCGTTGCTGGTATATCTTAACCAAAGAGCCTTTTAAGTTAGTTGGTTAAAAAACATGGAGCACTATTTATGTAGCGTTTCTTGGCCCATTAACTAAGAAATCCAAAGTAACATTCAACGAAGCCAGATCCTCTTAATCCGCATTTACAGCAGTCGCAAAATTATTCTCTCTTTGACATCATCGGGAAAGTCCTCTGGTTTCAACCCCGAGGTTTTCTCCCAAACTGTCAGCTGAACTGTGGAGGCGAAATCTGTTACGTCAGCAACTTCACGAGTTGCCAGATTACATCTACCCCCTCCCCCCCCCGCCTCATAAACGCGGGTTAGAAACCAATCAAAATTAGAGCCTTAAGAGGGTTAGGTAGGTAAAACCTAGAATCGTACTGATAGTCAGCGGTATCAAGAGCATGTCATCTAAAAGGCTTTGTGATAGTTTAAGTGTTAAAGGTCACCTGTTTTGTTTTCACTGCAGAGGACCGTTATGCAGCAGTCAATTCCAGCTGCGCCCAGCCCCCGCCCCCCCGGGCTGATCCCCGGGCATTAGCATTTTTTTGCCTTAGATGGCAAATTCCCGGGGGTGGGGACTCTTGAGCTGTCAAATCCCACCGGGTGGGGACAAAAAAAGAGGGCGAATGTCCCGTCCTCCGACAACACTGCAACATTTTTCATTGATCGCACAGTCGAATAGTGCCGTTTTAAGCATTTTAATGTGCGATTTTTTGCTTCAATTAACGTCTTCCTTTGTAACTGAGCGCTAGGATTCTAATTAAAACTTCACGCCGCGACGACATGCACCAGTTTATAATTTTAGTATTGATGTAAAATTATTGACATTAAAAGCAATAGAGCGCTGTAAAGTTATATTTTATGAATAGTATTATTATAAATATGAAAGGATATTTTTCCAATAATATCAACAGAAATTTGATTTAATAACCAAAAAACGTTGATTCACGTCGATAGCTCCCGATTTCGCTATGTAATTCTGGCTTGATAAGCAATGAAGAAATGCATGCATAAAATCAAGAACATGCCTTTACAACCTCTTCAATTTTTTCCTGTCCATGACAGATGAGCCAATCTGCTTTCTTTCCCAGTGAAATCATCTGTGTAATTTTTTTTTTCTGATAGGAAACAGCGTGCGTGACTAAAGCTCGGGAGTGGCCCAGGGGTTGGCAAATGCCCGGCCCCCAGGCAGCACAAATGCCCCACCCCCGGGACTGACAAGGCCGGCAACTGGTCCGCAGTAGCCCGGCGGGGGGGGGGGGGGGGACCGGGCGCAGCTGGAATTGACTGATGCATCATTTTTCTACTAACTGTATGTTATATTGTTCTTGTTTGCTTTTACTAAACGTATTCTTGAAAAATAGTTGCTTTCTAAAACGTTTTTAAAACGTTTATTTAAAAATATTAATGTTACACTATAGCCCTGCTAATTCCATATCGCTGTCAGCTCACTGTCACTGGCTGACTCGTAAGTGGAACTAAGTGGAATCTGATTCAAATTTCATAGTGAAAGCTCCTTCCTCGACGTCTTCTAATGACAAGATAGGTACTTTTTGTAAAAGTCGTACGACATTTCGAAGAGTAGTTTTTATTGATGCCGCTACGAACTTGCCAAACATTGTGTCTGCGTTTGAAATGACCCTATGACCTGGAAGAAAGTAAGACTCTATAAGGGAAGATTCTCTCTGGGTTAACAGACTTGCGGTGGATTCCAACACGGAACAAACGCGTTCTGTCAATTTGTCTTCTTGCCACAACTTCGAATCATCTGAACGTTCAAGTTCTTCAAAGAATCTTGTCTTGAGGACGTAAGTATGGAGAAACCCAAGATGTGAAAAACGCTTCGAGCTTCTTCTTAATTCAGTTTGCCCCTTAATGATTTTTAGAGCTGTGTAACAAGCAGCCTGCACTGGACTTGTATTCTGTAATATCTTGAGTTCAGCCACAGAAAAAGAAAACCTCCACAAAAGAGAATCTCCTCCTTCAGACTTAGGAACAACGTGGTGGCCTAAATCTGCACAACCTTTCAGAACATGACAAGGAGGTATTTTGGCGGACTTAGGCCAACTGGAAAAGTGTATGGCGGGAGTAATGTCAATGTCAATGGGCATTAATTTGTAAACATTTCCTCTCCAAAACAAAGTCATCTTTACTCCGGCCTTGCTTGTACTTATAAAGGGATGGCACAGGCCACATGAATCATAACTTGTCGTGTTGAAACTCAGTCTGGTTTTGTGTACTAGGGCAGGCGTGCTAGACTTTTCGTACAAACGTTTAGCCAAGAAACATTTCACTTTCATAGCGTCAAGAAATCCCTCTTTTGACAGAAACATGGTCCATTCTTCTCTGTACTCTTCTTTTACTTGAATGCGAACAAATCCTGGTTGTTCGGTTTCGACAATTTCACATTTATCATCTGCCAGCGACTTCAATTCACACATATAGTCAAATTCATCTGGCTTGCCTATCCTGTAGCCTTCAAAGGCGCTTCCAGTTCGTAAAATTTGATAGTCGAAAATATGATCATCGTCCGCAACAAGTTCTAAAAGTTTTTCGACAAAGGTCAAACTTTGTAGAGCAACATTGCATCTTTCGTGGCACTTTCCATCGCCGTCCATGTGAAAAGTTCTAATACGGTACTCGTGACTTAATTTCAATAAGTACTCGTTTACATCCGTGTCTTCCTCAATACACAAATCTGGAACCTCAATGTTGTCAGAGTGACCAACAGAATCACTGTGACTCGATGCACCAGATATACTATTTCTGCCGCTTTCATGAACCACGCCAAGAATTTCTCTTGGGTTGGTGCTGTCCCTAACACAGTTGTTCCCGGTTTCTTCCTTCTCCATTGTACTGGAAACAGAAGTAGAATTAGCATCGGTAGCCTTTGCGGATTGGGAAGCGAATAGGCAAGAAAGTCTCTTTAAATTAAACTTTGCTGCAAGATCATGTACTGTTTCTCCGTAAACGTTTTTCTGAAACTTATCAAAATCACTCTTAAATGCTTCAGCGACTGTTAAAAGAACATCTTCATGGGTAGTTGCCATTATTACAGTATGTAACACAGTGTCGCCGTGACGATTTACAAACTCTGCATGGGAAGCACGATTTAACAATAGCTGCAGCACATCAAAGTTACGATGATAAGCCGCGATATGGGCTGGTGTTTTACTATCATTATCCAGACTTGTGACACTGGCACCAAGTTCCAAAAGAAGCTGCATTGTCTCCAGATCACCAAAGGCAGCAGCTTGATGAGCTGCTGTTCTTCCACTGAGGTCAGCCATGTTTATATTAGCGCCATAATCTCGCAATAGGAGAATTGTCTTGGAGACAATTTGAGGGTACTTCTTCACAATGACTTTGTAGCGGTTTGCTTGGTCAAAGAAAACGTGAAGGGCTGTTTTTCTCATGCGATCTGGAATATTAGGATCAACACCGGAATCCAATAAGATCTTTAAAGTTTCATACCTGTTTTGGACGTTGATCTCTTCGTTAAGATTTAAACTTTTCGGAAGAATCACGGCTTCGTGTAGTGCAGTTCTGCCCAGAGGACTCTGACAGTTTACGTCATTGAGGAAATATCTTTGAAGTAGTTTAGACACTATTTGTGGCTGATGGCAATTAGCGGAAAGGGAAAGGCAATTCAACTCAACTGACGGAAGCATAAATAAATCCGAGTTATAAGTTCTGGTAGAAAACATGAGTGATGCTGTTCCAATGTCATCCACATTTTCAGTATCTGGTGTAGGTATGGAAAAGCTTGTTCTCGGGTTTGCTCCATTTTCGAGCAGTTTAAAAGCACACTCAATCTTATCTCGACAAATTGCATCATGTATTGGCATCCAGCCTCTAGTATCAGCTATGTTAATGTCACAGCCGTGTTTTAGAAGACAATCAACAATTTGCAGATGTCCTGATTTTGATGCCTTATGAAGAGCTGTCCGTCCAATTGGTTTTCCATTTTTATACTTGGAAAATAAGTTGGGATTAGCACCCTTTTCCAGTAAGGTGGCTACCATACCTGCACGGCCCAATTTTGCACTCAGGGTTAGTGGAGTATTCCAATCATTGCAGACAGGTGTTGTAGATTCTGGAGGAGAACTCCAATTAAGGCCAACACGGAGTTGTTCCAAACCATCAAGTGCCATGTTGAAGCCTTCAGAATTATTAAGTACTATGGAATGAATAAGCAGTGTCTTTACAGTACTAATTATTTCCTCCATATCTGTTCCCTCACTTGGTTCACCAGTACAGTCTCCATCTGAAAAGTCCATTTTCCTCCAAGACAGTCTCTTGTTTGAAAAACCTTTATAGGAACGAAAAATATATGCAGTGTTATAAAATATGCTTAACTAATCTTAACTTTTCCACTTATTGTGGTTCTGATTGATGCAAAAGGAAATTCTTAATGGCTAAAACTTTGAACTGACAATATAAATATGATGGCATTAACTGAAGAAGAAAAAATGTTGTGCCTAGCGAGGCCCTGTTTAAAGCAGAATTCTGAAAAGTGATATGGGCTTGAAACAGCAACATATGAGAGATGAAATGGTGACAAACAAGATAAAGATAGGTTGAAACTACAACGGCGAATTGCAAATGGAATAGCGACATATGTACCCCTCTTGGTACCCCCCCTCCCCAAACCCCTAAAAAGGCCTCTCTAGTTGCTACTTTTTCCTTCGGTGAACCCATATGCTTAAAATTGGGTATAAACTATTCCCTCACAACCAATTCTGGGTATAAAGTATACTGTGTTTTTCTTAATATATTTGGTATTTTACACGAGTTTTAGTATAATTTTTGGTATATTGCATTGTTCTCCCCAGGTATTTCAGGCCAGGCGGGCCGCCTGGCTTGATTCATTGAAAAATCGATGCCGCCTGGCTTAAAACTGAAGAAACCTTATGTAGTTAAACATCTGGAACTGGGATCTTGTCCATAAGTAAAGCAAAAAACACTCAACAAAGATACTGAAACATTGCTTAGAGTTTTTTCATTGCTTTTTCTCGCAGTTGATAAGGTTTTAGCTCATTTACCCCTCCATGAAACCTGTTGCGGTATCCGTTGAACGGCACGGTTAGCCATAAATTCAAGGACACTTCAAGGGATATTACATGGAATACTAAACTCAACTCCCACGTGTGTAGAAGGTTGTCAAAAAATGACCGCGGAATAGAATAAGCAACAGGATTTCGAATAACCTCTTAATTGTTTCTATTGAAGGACCAAATCTGGAGGAATTCGACTTTGAGAAAGCAGCAAACATCTGGGGGGGCTTAAAAATGTAGGAGGTTAACAGTTACTTGCTAGACAGCATGACACTTCACTCTTGCAAATTTTATGTCTTTTTTTTTGTATTATGCTAGATTAGGATTTTGTCAGAATGCCCCCTAGCCTTCACAAGATCCTGGGGAGAACACTGTATTGGAAGGTTTATTTCGGGTATTTTGCGAATTGGTATTCCACTACCTCTCCCCCCACCCCTGGCCGACCCTGCTGTAACTTTGATCCATTACTGTCATCAAAATATAATTTGCATCAGTTCAATTTAGCTCACAGACACGTTTGATTGTAGACAGTTACCAGTATACTGGACGAATTTGTTCGCAAAGGTAACCAACTCCCTACTCACACTTGGATCTGTCCATTTCCATGTATCAGGAAACTGTTAAAGAGGTCCCATTCCTCAACCTCCCCTCAAGGTGGCTGAACACAGTTTTGCGGGCGGTCAGCGGAAACTCGCGTGACCACGCATGTAACTTAGACAAACAAACATGGTGGCAAAAACCAATGGTACACAGAAGATGATTTCTCAAACTCTACTCATTAAAATTTTGTAATATTAGGCAGAACTTTTGCTTTTATTGCATTTTAAATAATGAGGACTTTAAAATGGAAGTTGAATCGAAGGATTTTGTGACACATTTAATAATTACAATTATATTATTGACCATCTAAAAACCCATCCGTTAAAATTTGGTCAAATAAGTTTCAAGTGGTAATGATTAATATAGTAAGCTGTGCGCTAGCCTGCGCGCAGACAAAATTAAACTCTGGTTAACTCCGTCTGCAAAACAGCACCGAAATCCTTGTTCTGGACTTCCAGCTGTGTACCCAGATTTGAGTACGCGCCAAGATTGGCCAGTTAAAAAAAGGCCTTTGTTTTGTTTGTCGTGATCGCCAATCAGGTTGAAGGGGAATTCGAAACGCACTTCCGGTAATTCGTTGAGTCCGTTGGGGGTCCAGAACAAGGATCTCTGCGCTGCTTCGCAGACGGTACTAATCAGAGTTTAGTTATCGTCTGCACGCAGGCTAGCTGTGTGAGAATTCAAATCTCGCACTAACCCTGGGTTATCTTAACCCAGCTTTGAGCAACTCGGCCCTGAGTTGTATTCAATCGTTCATGTTGCCATGGAAACTACGAAAATGTCAAATTTTACCTGTCAATCAAAATCTTTCATCAGTATATTTTCACTTGCCAAGTGTAAGCTTGTGAGCTGCAGCCTTTGGCAAATGACATATACTCTGTCACAAACTTCCCAAACTGTGTTAGCCACTTAAATTTGAAGCAAAGTGAGGCCCTCAAGGCCCTTCGGTTTCTCTCTTGCGTGACTTTTAGCGTTTTACGATATCGTTTGCGTTGGTTGTCAGTCGCTTAGTTGGTTTGTTTTAAACGCCCCGGGAGCCCAGGGAGAAACCTCTGAAGCAAGCCACTTGTGGTTTCCGTTCAGCGTGCGCGTGGTTTCCCCCTGGACGAGATGATCGATTCATACAGAATCACGACATTCATTGAAGAGCTATTTATGATACTAATAGAAAAGAAGAGGGCTAACTAACAAAGTAGGGGGCGAAATGGTTTTAAAGAAGCTAATTTACTGCACTGTCACTAAGGGGCGAACTCACTAATTTTCGTTTCCACGAGACACCTCGTCTGAGTCTCTTGCGATCGGAAGTTATAACATAGCTAGAAAATTCGCCTAATCAAATTCAATAGCGCGAGCGTGCTTCATATTCCTATTGAGCACGCTGATGACGTCAATAAACTATTCGTAATTCCTCGAGTTGTTGTGAGCTTAGCAATCCTGAGTCTCATGAGTGCATCCATAACTCGGCAGTACACGATAAAAAGTTTACCATGTGTTTTATAAGGAAATTTAAGAGGAAACGTTTGAATTTGTTAACCGATAGTAAGGAAAAGAGGTGAGTGCTGTTGTTGTTGTTGTTGTCATCTCCGCGAGCTGTGCAGACTATGGCGTGAGATCATTCTTTGCAAAGTTGTTTTCTCTCAATAACAATTTTTCGGTGAATTAATAGTCTTCCGGCACCTAAATATAGATTTTACAATCATTTTAGAGTTCACTTTCTCTCAGTTTCAGGATAAAAACATAAGCTTAACTGTGAGGAAAAAAATATACTCACGTAAACATTGACGCGTACTGCTTTGAGCGCGCCCTACAATAATAAAATTTTAAGTTAACTGGTGCATTGATCGCTTTGACAATGTTATAAAACAATTAGTTCATGCTGCAGCTGTGCGTATGTCGAGATATTGAGCACTTGGGAAGTTTGGAGAGCACTCAAGAGGCTAGAGTTGCACTCGGCTGCGCCTCGTGCAACTCTTACGCCTCTTTCGTGCTCTCCAAACTTCCCGCGTGCTCAATATCTCGACATACGCACGCTGACGCATGAACTAATTGTTAATTTACGACTCGTGAAGACGACTGAATTTCAGGTTACACGCGGCCAAGGAATTTCACGTGGCGTTAAATAACACTGTATAATAAGCTTAGTTCAACCGCAATATACGTTTATCGATTTCCTCAAATTTACTGTCCACGCCAAATCAAACCACGGGCTACATGTACAGTCGTTTCTTACCTCAAACTCTGGCCGCCATCATGTTCTAAACTAGATACGTCATGTAAGGGGACACGAATAATAGTCTTGAGCTTACCGACACGCCTCCCGTGTACATTAGTATGCCAGGCAAAGAAAGCGAGAAAATTGAGAATACGTATCTACCTGGAGTTTTGAAAACCGGGTTGCCTGAAATCATAAGTCAAGTCCAGCACATTGCAGGCAATCTTTCAAAACTTAATTCGCTTAAAGCCCTGATACTTTTAGTGTAAAAATAACAATCTCGCTCTTCAGGACTAACCACCCTCACCTCTTAACCATGGGCTCCAAATAACTTCCTGGAATTGACAGAAATCAGTGCAAATTCCAGAAAATTTGCACGAGGGGGGCAACAGCCCGTCCCGTAGGGACGGGCTGTTGCCCCCGTTGGCCCAGCTAATATTTTTTGAGGGGGGCTTCCGTCAAACTAAGTGTCATGTTGTTGCACAGACACAGGGCTATCATCTGGTATGCATTTGGGGTAGCCTGGTTAAATTCCAGGGGGGTGGGGTTGTTATAAAGACTATGCTTTGTGCTAGAGTGCGGATTCGCTGAGTTTTTGTACCGGGGCTACCTCTGTCTTTCAAAGCTCAATGTCTCCCTCAAATTAAGGGGGGGTTGTGTCTGGCCGGGTGCCATGTTATTGCACAAACACAGGGCTATCGTCTGGTATGCATTTGGGGTAGCCTGGTTAAATTGCAGGGGAGTGGGGTTGTTGTAAAGTTTGATGTGTTTTTGCACTCTTATGCAGGTTGTTTGTGCTCTTTGCATGCAAGCAATGACCCACTCTGTTCAGAATGTTCCTAGTCAGCAAGCAGTTGAACTGCTGGTTTTAGGACTTGGTTTTGTTGAGCAGTGCTGGCTTAGATTGTTTTTGGGAGACCAGCGTCAATTAAAAATGGGGTGAACTGGGGAATTGGCTTTGCAATCGGTGACACCGACACTAAAAATTGCTTCTTAAAATGCCTTATTTTCCAGATTAATGAGGAAAACGTCACTTTTGTTACCTTCAAGATAGACGATTCTATCAAATGGAGGCTCATGTATTCAATAATTTCTTTTTGAGGTGAGATTTTACTTTTCAAGTAACAAGGGCCATCACATTGACAATCAGTGCGAGAGACTGACATTTTTTAGTAGCCCGGTTTTCAAAAAACCAGGTATGTATGAATCACCGCAAAAAATGAAACGTTTAAGCACTATACCATTTGCGTTTTGTCATCGTGTTGGCTTTGCCTGATGATTAAGATTTAGTCTCTTTAACCTTTTGGAAGCCTTTTGTTACTGTCCTGAGTACCACTTGTGACATCATTACTGTGTAAATGTTCCGTCAAAGAACTCCCACAGAAAGTGTGGTCTGATGCTTTTATAAAATAACTTTAAGTTTTTTGTGAGTTTACCGGCACAATAAACCATACGCTTTTAACCAATCAGAACGCACGTACTATGTAAGTTAGTTTTTAAAACGTGTTATCAGAGGCAGTAAGAGAATATAACCTCACCAATATCTGAGACAACCCAAGATTAAAGGATAATTTGAACTTCAGCATATTGCTGTCATTTTTCCTAACTTTACCTGCCTATTATAGAGGGAACGTGGGGAACTTAAACTTATTTTACTTGAACTCGGGTTTTAGGCAAGCCTCTCAAACGAGTCTGCCTACACACTCTTACGACGTTAACCTGCACTCCTGTATACCGGCTACCTACCTCCGCGCCACCAAGCCTGTATGTACGACCCTCCCATTTCTCATCTCGCCTTTTCTCAGGGACACTTTTGTGAAGTGACAGCAATCTAAGCTAAATAGCATGGTGTTATCGGCACTTTTTAAAGTGCGAATTATTGCGACTTTTAAAAGGTACCTAATTCGAAAACAACTTGCCTTAGGGGAGGAGACAAATTAAAAATCTCCGGGACGTTTGTCTCCAGGGGGTGGGGGCGGGGATGGGGTTAGAGATTCTAGTTTCGAATAGGCAACTTTCGATATATTCAGCGTGATAGCGAGTCTTCGAGGACACAAACGAAGAAAATGAATAAACCATGATTATTTAAGTTTATTCATTTTTTTGTTTGTGTCCTCTGAGACTCACTAGCAAGCTGAATTTTAATAAATCAAAAAGTGGCTTATTGACTCGGCGACTCGTAACAAGAGCCATAATAGCTCTTGCTGGCATATAAAAAGAAAAAGAAACAAACGAGGCACTCTTTATAAAACTGGCTTAACTCTTTACAGAAACGTGACGTAAAAGTTCTCAAATATAAACTTTATTATCTAGTATATACATACAACAGGTCCAAGAGAGGATTTATCCTCACCTTGTTTTTACCTGTGATCAGGCACTTTTTTGGGCAAGAGCACGATCTCAGGCTTGTTCAGGGTTTTAACGATAACCATAAATTACTGTAGCCGTAATTTTCACCCAGTTTTGCTTTTGAATGAAAACAAAATTGCACCAGAAACCTTTTGCACTCAAAGTAAAACTGGTTGAAAATTACATATAGTTTCCAAAAAAAACAGCAACCAGAATATAACTTGAACTTGTGATGATTATAATATCAGTGTACAGTCAAGCTGCCTTGAAAACTACCCTTTTATAATGTCATGTACTTACTGACTGAGTGGTAGGGCTGGACGGCAAATACAAAGTAAGATCGACCCACGGGAGGTTTTGTGAGCCCGTGAGACTGTACAACCCGCTGGACAGGAAAATATTTGGGCCAAGGTCATGGCACATGGAACGAGCACAGAGAGGTCAGTGCAACCATGACCGAGGGCCAATTATTTTCCCGCCCCCCTGAACCTACCTCAATCAATAAGTACATAATATTTTATGAAATACCAAAGTTTGGAGAAGTGTGGATGGTGTCTCAAAAGTTAAAGAGTAAGAAAAGCAGATCTTTTGACTTAAACATAACCTTCCCTTTAAAATTCCTGTTACTGAACTGAACCTAATAAATAAAATGTCTATTTTAAACGTTTCACTAGGTGGTGCCAATATTTATAGTTGAAGCAATAAATGTCAAAGTTAAATAGAAAAATTATGTCAATAATTACAAATTAAAAGAACAAATTTTTTCATGGGGGCCAGCAATCCCAATTATTTTTATCGGTAAATTTTTTCAACCTCTCAATCAAACGAAATAATTCCCACCCCCAGTCAACACTGTGTTTACGCATTTTCAAAAGGGACTTCAAAACATGAGAATCTGACTATTCCTGTGAATTGGCAGAAAGAAAAACTCTTTATGCTTGCCGCAATGATTCTAACGACTTATTTATAGTTTTTCTACCGGAAAGCCAAAAGAAGATTTATATTTTTCTTTTTTACAAATGAACCAAGGTTTTAGTTCACAGAGGAGAAATGCAATAATAAACCACAAAAGATACAAGTTAAAAGGAAGGCAAACAACCCAACATAACACTACTGAAATCACTTAACTGCACATAGGCTACTAAACTGTTAGCATCCCGAAAAACAACGATCACTTGCATGTGAATGTTTGTTTAGCTCACATGATAATTTCAAGTGCCCAGTTTGGTCATGTTACTTTTCCTCACTCTTAGAAAGGCGACAACAAACGTTTAAGGTTGAAATGAACATAAAAGCTTTCAGAAGAACTTTTAGCTGCCTGGCTTTCATTGTTTGACGTTCAGAGAACAGGGAAGTTTCAAGTGTACCAGAGTTTGGAATATCTATATTAAATTTTGAAAGTGCTGTGAAAAGCTGTAACTTTCAAGAACGTCAGAATGGGAGCTGAAGGTCGGTTATTTTTGAAAAACCTAGCTGACAAGCTATCACGTAAGGATGGGGAACCTTAGGCTTTAGTAACGGTATGGTTAAGAACATGCTTGTCTTTTGAAATTTTAAGGTCTGTCCACATGTGTTTTAGGAGTTCAAGAGTTCCGTTTCATAATGAGAGTACCTTTTTAATAATTTTCCTCCAAACGCTAAAGTAACTGGCGGTTTTTAGATATCAGGTTTGGTCTGCCCTGCATGCCCATTTAAAACACCACTGACAATGTAGCCTGTGAACAGGCCTTTGGTCTACAGTCATCATGGCCTTATTCTAGCAAAAAGTACCACATTTGGAAAATTTTTTATAGGTCACTAAAATTCCTAGTGATTTCTGCTAAAAGTCCTTTACAGTGTTTTTCTTGTAAATCAGGTACTTCTTCAACATAAAGTTTTATATAGTATTTAATAAATTAGCTAGGAAGCAAATTAGCAAACTTTATTTTTCTGTAAAATTCTATACTGTGGAATGTTTCATTGTAAATTATACTCAATTTAAGAGTTTTTGTAAATTTATTTTGGCACTTTCAAGAAAGATCAATTTTACCTCCATAAACCTCACTTTGGTGGGAAAAGTGTTGTGAAAACTTTAAGAATCATTTCTTGGGTTAACATGTTGATTGGAATTTTCGGTCACTGTTACGTGTTTTTCCCCCCGCCTGTTTGCCTGAATTGGGCTCATTCGAGTGTGGTTTGAAAGATTTCTTTATCCTGGAACAAGTTACTCATCAAAGTTGTCTACGACTCTTTACAGTCATAGTGACACAAGTGGTACAAGAGACAAAGAACCAGACATATTGAAATGGGTACAGAGGCAAATTAGATCTTTATTGGAAATGACTGCTTTACCCTAAAATATCACACAAAAGACAATTTCAAATATAGGTTTTGTGACTGTGAAATGAACTCCAAACTTCTTTGGTTGTTTATCTCACTAGAAAGACCCACCTTACAAGCATGTTTCAGAAAGGGATTGTGTCCTCTTAACAACAAATGGTAAAAGCCAAGCACTGTAAAATTCTTGGAGAAGTTCATGATCATTTCAACCAAGAGCCCATTGCCTTTTTTTTGATAAGCTAACCAGACATTCAAATGCAAATATTTTTTTTTCAGGGTGCTACGAGTTAAGAGATTTTGGTAGAACCCAATTCAATACAGAGTACAGTAATAGCTAATGTTTGACTTGCAGACCCTTTGCATTTATTATTATACAGTTGATAGAAGGCAAATGAGAAATTTTAAGTAATACTCTTTGCATAATAATTTGGTCTTTTAAATTTCATTTTATATTTAAAATAAATAAATATTTATTTTTATTGCCAATAATACAGCTGTTAGTCATTTATATAAACATAACTTAATATCTAAAAATAGTACTGTTTTGCCAGTCAGCTGAGTCTGTTTACACAGCAGTGGAGATTTCTGCGAGTCTCTCTTGTAATTTCTGCCGATACAGCATGTAACTGAAACATAATGAATACAATAATATTAAAAGACATTCAAGATTAATGGAGTACCAATGTTCAGGTCCTGAAGCAACAACTTATAAATCTTAAATCTCCACAGTGAGAAGCTGCACTTACGCATCTCTTTCATACTGTAGGTTTGCTCACTCATCTAACATTTAGACCCAGTCAATAAACAGGTATTGTAACTTACATTTGTTTTATTCTTTCCACTTCCTTTTCCTCTTCTTCACAATATTTATCAAGAAACGCTTGTAAAACAGGCGTGGCAAAGTGAATATACTGTGCAACCTAAAACAAACAGGAAAAAACTCAATACACAGTCCTTGCAGACCTGATAATTACCCGGCCTTCCTTAAAGGAAGAGACCGGTATAATTCTGGCCCTGGTTTTTCTTTATCTACAAATTGGCATCTGCTCTTTAAAGTGCATGAGTGTACTGGCGAAATATCACGTGGTCGATTTGAAGCAAATTCGTTAAGCAAATTCCCTTGAAATGTTGTCAAGATGAAAGAAGAAAAGGCAGCTTTTTTGTCAGTAGTAGAGTTAACATTGTGGCTTTGTTGTCTCTGTGAAAAATCGACAATTATTTTGGTCGAAATTTTTAGTGATATGTGTTGTCTAGAGGATAATACATCCTGCAAGTGTCAGATAAACACAGTGGCTCGATCCATTTAATGGGGATTGGCTGCGGTCACTGGTTGCAAGGAGAAAACATGCTAAAAAGGTGGGTAACTTTCACTTTTCGTGTTTAGTGCAAAGCATGAGAAATTATACAGCAGTTGAAGAAAAACTATGGGGTTTTGGTTTGGTGAACAAGCATGTACTGAGTTGTACGGAAGCAACAGCTTAGTAAAACGTATGGACCCTTTTTGTGCTAAATTGTATAACTTAACTGTTTGATCTGCATAAACACGTCTATTGTACGTCACTGTAAACACCTTTATGAAAATTTTACTCTTAATAGTTCAGGTTTATCCAAAACAGTAAGACATGTTAGAAAATTAAAAAGCAGAGAAATTGCTTTGATTTAGTTATTTAACATGGTTTGCAGTTAGCAGACCGTTCATCACAGAAGTTTGTGCTTGGTTCAAGCTTCCCAGCTTTCTCGGTATTATAAAAGGCAAAGAAATTAATATTCTTTGCCTTTTTTGGCATATATGGATTAACTTGCATCGAGCTCGCACGGAAACAGCATTTTTGTAAAGCGCGTAGAGTTGTTTGATGCTAAAATTCTACATGATTTTGATCAATTAAACAACATTTTTTAAGTTAAATAAAAGATTACATGTAAGCTTACAGCTCTTTTTAAAATGGGCACTTTATGCTTACTTTCAAATTTCAGGAAAGTGAGAAATTTGTAAAACGCTTCAATAGACTGTTTCGATCTTGCACAACTCTATTTTGATCAATCTAACATTATAATTAAATTTCCACATTATCTATGCTGTAACTTTTTCTCTTTTCTGTGTTTGGCTACTATACGCTCAACCTTGCAATTAATTATTAAAAGGATCAACAAATCAAATACAAATGATATTCTGTACTTAAATTGGTTTCAGGATTATCCACAACAAGGTACTCCATACAGGTTAAGGTTTCCCGTGGTTACTTCTTTGCTTGTTGTTTATTTAATAGTAAAAGCAATGAAATATTGACATATACTTTATTTTCAGAGAAGATGAACTTCATCCCGAATAAAACATTTTTTTCAGCTCACCTGCCCAATGGGCAAGGTTCCAGGCAGACTGAACTTACCTCATGAGAAATATTATTTGTATCATCAGCCTCCATCACAAATATCTTAGCTGCTTCCTGCAAGAAAAATAGGAAACCTGTTAGGCCCTAATAGCCTGTGGTCAGTTTAAGCCTTGAGAATAAATGTAAATGTGTGACTGCCAAACAATTCTCCCAACATAGTTACAAGGAACTGCTACACGTAGTCAGTCAATCAAAGCAACTTTAATAATAATAATATTATCAATGTATGATCTAGACATCTTGACCATTTCTGTCCACTGCTACCCTGTTTTTAGTAACTTCCTATGGAAATGACTACAGGCAATTAAAGACATTGCAAGGGGTGAGGGGTGATGGGGTTCTGTAAATTTGGTTTAGGGTATTCATTTTTAATTTGAAAAACATTATCACTCCAAACATTAAAAGGACAAGGTATTAGTGTACTGACAGAACTTGGTGAAAGAGCTCTATAAACTTGGATTTATAGGTGAATATAGTTAAGTGAGGCTGAAATACTGAACACTGACTGTAATAATATTTAAGTAAGAGGGGCTAACTGGTCTGAAAGAATTACCTTTATTACAGCATGTACTTGATTTTTTGCTCTTAAAACACTTTTATATAGTAAATCATGAAATTCCCTCGGAAATATTAGAATTCTATTGGTTATAATACACAAATTCTGTACCTCACTTGGACCGAGCAGGAGTCGGCAGTGCAATGGAAATTCATCATTCTGTAGTTGCCTGATTGCTAAAAAGAAAACAAGAAACTCGTAAATACTATGAGTGGATCTTATCATTTTAGCTGAATGTCTGAGTACTTGAGTGCTTGGTCTCCATGTCTCAAGTTCCAGACAATAGCTGGAGACTCGACTTTTGCTCTTGTATCTTATTTTCAAACATAGGAAGAGCAAGAGTTGGGCATAGGAAAGGGCAATTGCCTCCCAGCAATATGTGGCCAGGGAAAAATTACAAAGGCAACGCAATTTGTGAGTTTACCCTTCATCTCAAAAAATAACATATTTTCCAAATGGGCAATTCCAGAAAATATCCATACCCAACCATGGACGGCTTCCATGTTTTATCCCCCCCTTGCCTTCGGAAATTCCAAAATGTGTTACCGCCCCATGCCCTCAGAATTCCATAATCGTGAACCCCTTCAGAATTTCCGTTTTTTTGGAAGTACATTTTCGACTTAGCAACGCCTATATGAACAAACGAACCTGAATTTATGCCTCCTCAAGGCTGTGATCTAGCGGCGCCAGGCGCTAGTAGCCAGGCTGTGCAAACTCCTTTTTAGGTCCGAATTTGGCTATAAAAATAAACACCACTAACGGCAATTTTACTCCTCTTTGTTTTCTTGTGCTGTTCTGAAGATTACAAAGCAAAATAGCTCAAATTCAGACTGTTAAAATCTTTCGGCGGTCAACTCTCCCGTCGAGTGGTGTTGTGTCCTTTTATACGTCATGTAGTGTGCACGAAAACTGTTCTAATCTGACAGGTGTTCCTTGGAAACCAGGGACTGGTGCGAGTTTTTTTACTGTTCATCGGACGGGAGTAACAAGAAACTTGCAAGCAGTAAGATACATATTCAGTTTTTTTTTTCATGTGACAAAAAATTCATCAAGGTTAATGTGAAACCCATGTTTTACTGTTCACTTCTATAAGTTATGAGCGTAAACACGTGTCTGATCTATCGACGCTTGTCTTCTGCTTCCGCGGTCATATGTTCGTGGTTTATTTACAAACTACAAAAGTCCACAACAATAGCGTTTTCAAGGAACTCACTCTACACTTTCTACTCCAGAAATCCCACCTGTGGAATTCCCCCATGCCTTCGGATTTCCAATCGTAAATACCCCCAATGCCCTCAGAATTCCATAATCGTGAACCCCCCCTCCCCTTCGGAAATCCCAAAAGCCGTCCGTGGTATGGTATGGATATTTTCTGGAATCGCCCAATTCCACTTTGATCCACAATGGAATACAATCTTATGGACGTGCTTCCACTAAATCACTATTTCTTAATCGACCTATTTGATCATTCAATCATTTGTTTAGGGCTCAGAGGTTACACTCAAGTAAATTATTATTTAGAGTAAGTAATCTTAATTAAATAGAGGCAGAAAGTGAAAACGTAGTAAATGATGAATAAAGGTTATATACATAAAACTAGTACTTACAGCCATTGTCATACACAGCGTAGAGATTAAAGTTCTGAGGTGCATTAGTTATCTGCAAAAAGGAGAAAACTGACAGTAAGTCAGATTTTTCTTTTCCTCACAAAAAATATTTTATGATTTATTTCTGAGAACGTGCTTCTTGAATAGCGTCTTTCAAAGAAAAGATTTAATGAAGGAAGCCTGAACATGACAGAAATCTTTAAATATAGACTTTCACAAAGTCCTATGTAGTCATGCACTTACAAAGGACTTTTCTCACTTGCAGCTTGGCAATCTGAATAAATGATATCATAGCTAAAGCCAATCACTATCAATATTGCAAAAACAAGTCAATCAAAATTTATCATGCACGTTGTTACTTCCACCCAAGCATTGAGAAATCAATCAATAAATCAATCAATAATGTAGTCAATAAAGAAATAATAAAGCACTGCTCCCTGGCTTTAACTTTGGCAGGAAATTACATTCACAATCGTTCAAGCAGGAATTTAAGATGGTGCTCTCCCAACTGTATCCCTCGCTGGGGTGGCTTTGTGACTCTACTAAAGTTTGTATCGCTTGCTTTAGGATTACTGACAAACACTCAATAATTAATTAATGATAATAATTATCTTCTCTTCTTAAGGGGCTTTTCAGGGATAGGTTAGATTAGGTTACCAATAAAGACCTCAATAAACCAATATAATAGAAAAATTAACACAGAGTAAACAGAGTGCAGCATAAAGTAAACAATTTACCTGAAATTTTGTCATGAGCATCTTTATAACCTCTCTTGTTCTTGTTCTGCTTGTTACTCTAAGGTTAGTGGAAGTACCATAAGGTGGAATAAATGTTGTCCTTCCTTCTGGAGACTACAAAAACAAGTTGAATAAAAAATCATTAGATTCGTAGTGAGTTCCCGTTGCTTATTATTAAGTGCACATGAGTCACAGTATCTGGCAAATAAGAGCAGATGCACAATTCTCTCATGATTACCTGAACAGTGAAATCTAGAATAGTTCTTTGGTCACCAGCATCTGGAATATTCCTGCTGTTGTAAATTGAAATACGACGCCTGGCAAGAATCTTCTCCAGACTGCTAGTTCTTGATCTCTAGAGACAACATTAGGGAATTTAGAAACCCATCACAAGAAAAGTGGCATTAATTTTAGCATTCAGTGCTTTCAGTTCACACCAAAAGCCTGTGAAAATTGTTGGCTACTATGTTCAAATGTACCACTTTTGATGATACAATAAGCCACTTGCTCTAAGAGGTAACATGACCAATGCTTCCTTTAAACAATGAGTTGGAATCTTGCTGATGCCAAAAATTGACAGAGCACATAAAAATTATCTTACACCCGAAATTTGAAAAGAAATGCATTTAAGGGAGATATTTTATGGCACTTTGATTTTTCACGGAAGTAGTATAATTTTATTTCTTTTGGCCACCATGTTGGAGGGCGTTCTCTTGCCCTCCAACATGGTGGCCTGTACTACTTTTTGCTTATATTACCTTGTTAAACATTCCATAGTTACTCTCAGATGTGCTGTAAACATTACCACATCATCTTTTCAACATTTTCCTTGAAGTTTAAGTGCAAAATTTGTGTTCAGAAAGAGGTAGTTTGTAATAAATTTTAAAAATCACATTTTGGTCACGTGACCAGCTACGAACTTACTCATTTTAAGAAAATGGTGCGGGTTTGAAAAACCAAATCACTATCATTTTGTTTAAGATGTGACCCACTAATCGTTTTCCAGTGGCAAAATCATATAATTTTCATTTTCATACATTATGTCTTAGTGAAAAAGGCCCACTGGTTGCTCTAAACAAACTTCAAATCTAATTGAAACACCTGCGTATTTTATGGATGAATCATTCTGCAGCCAGGGAAATTATGCATTCCAATATTTTTTTGACTCAGTTTCACTAACTAGTACAAGTAACAATGCACGACAAAAAAGCTGAAGCACCTGTTATTACCCTAGTCAAAAAGTTCACTTACGACAGAATCCTTGTTCTTTCCTGCAGTATTTCTCATCAATCCATTCTGCTCCTTCTGTGAACGTCTTCTCCAGTATGCCAAGTTATGACTAGCAAGAGTGACAGGTGCCTTAAGTCCCCAATAAACCTTAAGGACTCCCTCAAGAAGAATTCTACCTCCAACCTGTCAAACATTACCGTTTTGTAAGTCTCCGTAAGAAATTAATGTTACTATGATACACTGAAAATACATTTAAGCTATAAATGCCCTCCAAGAAAATTATTACTAAGTAATAATTTTATTATCAGCTACACTGGCACCAGGCACAACACACCTCTTTACTTGTTAACTGCAGAGCTTTTCTTCCCTCGAAAAATATGTTATATTCCTTTAACCTGGGAATGATTTCATTCCTGCAAAGACAAAATACAGTAATAACATATAGTTATTCACCACTATGACTATTCTGATTAATGAATCCTTGAAACTGAGACATGCCATGCATAAAAAGGTAAAACGATCATTAATAACACAAAATGTACTAAAACCATAGAACATCCCTGGGCCCAGATGTTCGGATTGTGGATAACGCTATCCACTCAGTGTCCACTGGATAAATCTCTGTCCGGTGGAAAATGCAATTGGCTTTTCTATTTCTTATGTGTATCAGCAGGAAAGTGATTTATCCATTAGATAGTGCTATCCTACGTTTGAACGAAAAGGCCTGAACATTGTGAAACACTACAACTCAGAAAAAACTGGCAATAGCAAAATGAAAAGACAAATGGAAACCCTACCTAACCCTGCTAAATTGGCAAAATATTAAATGTTCTTTCTTTGCATGTACTAGGCTTCATTTTAGCAAGAACAGTTTCGGTTAAGGCCCAGGTATCATGGCACTACCTTATTCTCACTTAATTTTGCTAGTATTATTTTCGCAAAAAATCAAGTATTTTCGAGTATTTAATTTGGCGACTTTTAGGGATTTTTAGAGAATTTGCAGGGATTTTTAGATTTCCCAAAATTTCATACTTGCAAAATAAAGTGAGAATAAGGTATTTAAAGGAAATACAGGCAGGTATTGATACTTTTTCACTGAAAGTTACATTATTCCTTGTTTTTTTTTGTTTTTTTTTTTCATTATGAAAGATGTTTTTCTTTTGCACACAAGTAAGGTGAAGGGGTTGTCTATAAATGATCATAAAAGTTGATGACATCAAGTGGTACAAGGGATGTGGTTTGACAAGGGCAGTTATAGACAGCAAAGATTGGACTGTATTTCCAACAGATATAATATGATTAAGATTAAAGTAGAGTGAAACCTGTATCAAGCGAACACCGTATTAAGCGGACACCCTCTATTAAGCAGACAGTAGCCAAAGTCCCCAAACTTACTTCCCTTATTTACTTTAAATGAAACCTTTATTAAGTGGACACCTCTTTATTCAGCGACACGGACACCTAAAAAGTACCTGAAATGGTCATTTCTGTTGTTTCCAACCTGCATTAAACGGACACTTGTAATTAAATTCCACCAACCAACATGCCAGACACCGGAAATGCGAAAGATTACCACCTACAAATTTTTCAATTTTTACAATAAAAAAAGTGACGTGACGAACTTATTTGATTAGTTTCATAATACGGTATTGATTTCTATTTCGATTTGTTTGTATGCAGCTTGTTTCACTCACCTCATTTCTTCAAATTTTAGTTGCAATCTATGTTTATGGTACTATGATCAACTGGTCCACTTTCATAATTAAAGAAATTAAAGCAAACGTATATCGTCACGGTCTCTGGGGGTATTTTAAACATTTCCAGTGTTCATTTGAATGGTATTTGACACCTCATATGACGTTATCTTTTGAAACCTGTATTAGGCGGACACCCTGTATTAAGCGGACACTACAGCATTCCCCGAGGGTGTCCGCTTAATACAGGTTTCACCGTACCACAATGGTAAGAAGGAAATAACACATACCTCACGGCATCTAGCTCTGCTGGAGTAAGTTTCTCATCAGCAAAGTACTGATAAGATTCTGTTCCTCCTCTACCATAACCTCCTGGACCAAACAGCAAACTATAGCATGGAATGTTGCAATAGGGAATGCCTCTGTGCTGTAAAATAAAACCAAACACTTATTTTAAAAAAATATATGACATGAACTGCACTCTAGCAACAACAACAACAACTTAATTTCATTTTGTACCCAACAGTATTACAATACTGATTAAAGAAAATATATTAACAAAAATAAAGAGGAGGAGAGGCTGCCCCAAATAACTATAGAGGCTAAAGAAAAAGGCAGCCATACTTAAGTGATTAATTTAAAATTATTAGGGTCAGACAGCATCCACCATACTGCCTGACTGCTGACTGAGTCCTGCAGCAGGTAGCCCATGGAGATTTACATTTGCCTCTAAGCAACTAGAAAATATAAGCTCTTGGACAAAATCTATAAGCAATGCTGGTTTAGAGCTCTTTGGAGCTTAGAACCCAAATGCCCTAAACGTCTAACCTATGAATATTATTTTGTAGAACTCCTCTTAGGGTACACTCGTAACTTGGCTCTGTTCATGTTGTTTGCTAACAACATCAGCACAATCTGAAAACTTATACTCCAATATACTGCAATGTCTCTGTTGTAGCTCAAAATGAAGTTCAGGTTAAAATTTCCTTTGCCCAAATAATTTACCTGTATGAATAACTAGGGCTAGTAGATGAAGGAAACTGATATTCATCGTAAGTTGAAACCACTTTTACTTGAATTTCAGTTTGACCTACAACATATAAACTGGACTGAATGATATTTTACCCTATCACTTGACATGTAACTCCTGAAACGTTTTATTTAAAAGGAAGTTGATCTAACTTTCACTCCTATACAATCATCTGCCTAAATTTCTTAAATTTTTGAGGCACAGAGCTAAATTTGGTTAAATTATACTGTACAAGTGGACACAACACATAGTCCAGAAAATACACTACTAAGCTTGGCAATTTTGTGGAAATAAAAAAAAACAATTTTAATTATTGTAAATGCTTTCATTTTTGTAAACAAAGATCTTATCACTCACTGCACCAATCTAAGCATGGCCCAGGTGCATTTTAGGACACACATATCCAGTGAAGAAATGAACAATGAACAGTGGCTACAGCTGAAACAACTCATTTTCATTGAGACAATACTAGTATAAAAGAAATAAATACAACTAAATTTTCAATTTCTTCATGCATCTTCGCTCATCTTAAAATTTCACTTAATGTTAACAATGATCTGGATCAGATATTTGAGACAAAGGAAAATAAGCATTAAACACGTTTGGAAGCTTAAAACAAAATAAACAAAGATGCAATTGATGAATTCAACATATGCAGTTTACAAAAAGGCTGCTACATTATGTGTTTAGGATATTTAACCTGATACAATAATGATAATAATAAGGTAATATTATTGTGAAATATTTATATTCTAAACTACATTGTATGAAAAAGCTACTGGGAATAGATAGCCTGGCAATTAGCTTGTTCAAAATATTAAACAAATTTGTAAAAACCATTTCAACAGTAAAACGTATCAAATGGTCATTTCTCAAAACACATTCATGATAAGAGACATTTTCTGAACCACATTAAGAAACATGTAATCTTTGGTAAAATTGGAAAGATGCCAGTTGCAGTATTTTTCAGACACAAGCTTCCCCTTTATCAGGCATAGGATAAAGTTGCTATTGCTTATAGTGTTAGCTTGTGTTATAAATTCTTGCTACCTGTATGTTGTACCATTATTGAAGTATTCAGTTAGAACAAGTCATTCAAGATGACCTTTACTTTCATCTAACATCAGTAATAATGCGAATGATGTATGTTGTAATTAACTGTTCTAACCCCAATATTGATAATGTAAAAGTTTGACTTATTTCTTATTCCATTAAACCAAACTTCTTTTCTCTGTGAAAAGAATAAGTAATAAAAAAGGTTTCCTTTACCACCCAGTTGGACAGAAGATGTGGCACTCGTTGTTGAATGATCATAAATGTGTCTGCTTCCATTTTGAATGAAAACAATATATGCATTCATAAAGCATTACATCATCATTAGAAGCTGCAAAAATGGGAACTGGACTTTTGGATAGGACATCAAAATAAGATTTTGGACTTTGAAATACTTAATAACAAAATAAGCACAAAAAAATGTTATTGTTGGCCAGAGCAGTTTGTACTGTGCATGAAACCATTATGATCCTGAAACAGGAAAAATTCTACTAAATAATTAATAAATTATAATGAAGGCTCCTGAAATGCTACATAAATATGAATAAATTTGTGTCATCTTTTTTGACAAAATATTTTTAATTTTGCCAAAAGTAAAAATCTATTATCAGGACTGTCACTAAGATTTCAAGTTGCCGGGTAAATAGATCAAGTAGGCAGGGAATCAAACAGCTGGGGATTTGTTTTGGTTCTATTTTCTCTCTATTTTCCTATGAAAGTAGCCGGGGGAAATCTCCGGCCCCTGCCTCTTAATGACAGCCTTGAAATATGATATAAATAAGAGAATAAATGCACATTTATACACAATACAATTTTCTTTTTAATATCAAATTGAAAACACATAAAAAATTATGGTAACTGACTAGAATTAAGACTACTTACGCTTATCCTTTAGTTTAACATGCACGTGGTGTAGAGGGGGGGGGCACTTAATTCAAACGGAGACAGTTAGTCGAAGGGGACGCCTCATATTTTTGGCTATATGATGAAATAATTCTGTGTCTCAAATGAACAAAATCTCAAACATTGAACAAAAAAACAAAAAAGCATCTTCAGCGATCCCTCTATCTGCACATCCCATGCCTCAGATGCATACATGCATGCATATTTCTTAAAATACTCAGAAATCATGCCTCGTACATATATGCATCCATTTGAAAGCAAAAACTTCTTCTCTGTGCATTATGAATGGGGTGCATCGTATGTATGAGAAAAATGCAAATTACATGTATTGTAACATTAATATCATTCACAAGCTAAGAAGTCTAAAGTAATGAGAAAGGGGGCCCAGTGCAGAAAATTTCAAAATTGTTTGTTCCTTCACCATGCTGGTTTTCAAGAACACCAAATGGCACATTTCATATGAAGTTTTGCTTACAAAAATAATAATGACAATTCTCTAAATATTGTATACATCTTATTTATTATGCACAAGCAGGGTTGTCACTAAGATTTCAAGTTGCCGGGTAAATACAACAAGTAGGCAGGGAATCAAACAGCTAGTCATTTTGTTTGGTTCTATTTTTCTTCTATTTTCCTATCAAAGTAGCCGGGGGCCACGTTCATAGTAGCCGGGGGAAATCCCCAGCCCCCGCCTCTTAATGACAGCCCTGCACAAGGGTACAAGACTCTTGTATGTGGTTCTGGGACTCATAGTTTTGGGCCCCGGACTAATTGTTTTATAGCTGTGTGACTGTCATGACCCATTTTAGCTATTTTCTAGATGGATCACTATATCTTTCAGTATATATCCAAATTTGCACTCGCATGGTGCATATCCTTGGCTTTGAACATTCCGTCAGAGAAGCCAGGTCTTAAACTTCTAACATGTAGTGTTCTTACATGAGTCATTTTCTAGTGATTGAACATGTTACACTATATATGGTGATAAATGTATTGTATACCATATATTGAGTAAAGAGGGATATTACGAGTAGATGCTCATTTGAAGGGGTTGCTTTCTAAAAAATTAATTTTTAGCCTAAAGAGGGGAGCTAATTCAAAGGCAGCGCTTATTGAAGAAGGTTGCTTATATTCAAGAATTTGCAATAAACTGAAAAATAAAAAAGCTTTAAGGTAGTGTTACATTTTCAAGCTGAACATACTGCTTATCAATATTTATGGAAGAGGGTCTCTTATGCAAGAGGGTCCCTTAAAGTATTCAAAAACATTTCATACTTCACAGATCTACTTCCATAAATGACTTCACCGCTACGAGTCTTCTGACAAACAAAGGTGCATTTTATAACAGTGCGATGTTTTTCTCTTGCTACATAACGTGACATATGCTTAATTATTATCCGGCAAAACAGCTTAGATGACAGACTATATGTCAGCTATGCAAATCATATCCACCACAGAGGATAAGAAAAAGAATCTGTAATTCAATATTCAATATTCTAAAAATCGCATTACTATCGAACAACAGTCGTTAAGGGAAATTGTGAACTTGAAAAAATCTAAGCCTTTGTTAATGGTTTTATATCGAAAGTACGATTCTGCTTACAATTATCCAAAAGCTTTATACAAAGCAGACAACCTGTCAGCAACAAACTGAAATGCATGACATCTTTCTCGAACCCTTTGAAAATGAAAAATTTAAAAACACCCCGTTGCAATTTAACATTTCGACTTTATTAACAAACCCTACATGATACATGTACAAGTCCACCGAGACAAAAACTGTTAACTCAAAAATGACTTTTCAAGCTAAATATTTGTCCAATATAACAAATATCCAGCTGGAGCCGGTGATTCAATTTTCGTGGACAGTCTTGAGCAATAAAAGCTCGAGTGTGCCCTAAATCTGTCGACCAACTGCTGATAAATCTGGTTTCTTTTCCTCTATTTTAAACAAAACCGCTGCAATTAAACTTAATTATTTAGAGGAGGAGTCTTGTATTTAAGACTCTGCTATATTATTGAGTCCCCATCCCGCCTTACCTCAGAATGTTGACCTGGGTTTAATCTTTTGCCACATTCTTCACATCGCAAACAACCGGGGTGCCAAACTTTACCAAGCGAGTTCCTTTGCTCAGCTGCAAAACGCCACAAAAAAAAATAAGGAAGAACTTTATTTGGGATACAATTCAGCTACCGTTATTTTAAGAGAACGCAGTTTGAACGACGTTCAACTCGATCGATGCGCGACGGTCGATTGGGCTTGGTGCTCATGTTTACTAGCAAAACGAAATATTTTGGGGAAGCCAGCTATAAGTGGGGTTGTTAAATAACTAAACTCACCAAAATACACTAGTTTCCTACACTTGTGACATTCGGTCATAGTGTTTTTGCTGATTAACAAGACACAAGCAAAGTGTTGCTCAACACACGCTACAAGCGGTACCGTACACAGGCAAGGTGCACACCGCTGGTGACGTCACGCTAAAACAGTCAGATAAACCATTGTTATGGAAGGGAGGGGAGGGTGATGATACTTGTGATGCCGTTGAATCTTGAATATTGTAGACAAATATTCCACAGACAAATGCCCTATTGCCATGTATTGTGAGATGATCTAAAGTGGGATCATCGCCTTACAGTAGGAATTATTTTTTTGGTCAAAACACCAACGAGAGGCTAATAGTTTGTTCGAAATTTCAGGCTTTTACTCAGGTGACAGAACGTCAAAAGGAAATGGGAGTTACAGCAAACTGACCCTACTTTTTCAAAGAAATATCATCGAAAGATGAAAACAGAAGAGGACTTCGACACTTTGAGTGTCCTGTAATCCACACTCGTTTTACTCGCATGTTACGAGCTCCATAGCCTGTGAAATGGCTCTTTGTTTGGGGAAAGGGTGAAAAACTCGCGAGGAGAGGAAAAGGAAAGGGGAGAGCCCGTAGACAAACATTTGGGACCGTCGTTCCACGGCACCCGCTGTGAAACAGATCCTGATGCAAGCTCCTATTGGCGAGAACACTGACTATTGACACCCTTTCCCTTCCCTCTTTCCGCGATTTTTTCACCCTTTCTCCAAACAGAGAGCCTGTTCACAGGCTCCGTGCTTCATCCCCGCGCGGGTTCTTTTCATAGCCCGTAATCAAGAAATACAAGAAAGATGTAGACAAGTTTTTTGTATCTTAGGATAGCGGTAACCTTCACCTACGTGCAGTGAAATATTTTGATTGGAAAAAAGCCAGCAAGGAGTCTGTTATTTTTGTAAAGGAGCTGAACAAAACAAGCAATATTAGTCTTTCCAATGACGTTTGTTCACTTTATTGAAAGTATACAGCACACGGCACATTTTGACATAAATAGTTAACCATCAAATGCCCTCCTATCATGAAATTTTTTCTTAAATCCGCCATTAATTTAATAATTAATTAAATGGAAAATAATGAATGTACCGCGAGGCGATAAACAAAAGCCAGTGTAGAAATGACTCAAAGCTTAACTTTTAGTTTTGTTGACAAGATAAATCTTGGAGGTTAATTAGAAATCTGTTTTTGCTTGTTACCCATCGTCTTTAAGTAAAAATTTAAGCACGATGGTTGCACATTTGGCGACAAGTTCTGAAATATCAACTTCCCCCTCGCTTCTCTATACTTGCGCTCCAGTCTAGTCTACGCAATACAATACAAAAGGAAGGGTGACAAAGTATTGTAACACCGGCACAATTCATGTACACACGTACCTTTGCCGTGAAAGGACTTGCTTCTTCCAACTTTGCCGGACTTTGGGTTCTTTGCTGCTGTCATTTTATCAGAAACCTGGATGAGCGCCCTTGTTAGCCGTGGCGATGCGCGAGCAAACAGGTATTTGCGTTCACCCAATGATGGAGAGTTGGGGGCGCTGCGAGACTTAAAAACTCTTTCCTCGGGTGGCGGAATATAAGCATTACTCTTTGGTCCTGGTTTTCCACAATTCTCGTGATAAATAGAAGGCATTCTTCTGTTGAATAAATAAATTTCAAGAACATGTTTAGAAATCCTAGCAGTACGTAGTCAATTGATAATTCTAGCGCTAAACATTTCATAAACATCACTTCCTACCCCTCTATACAGCTTGAAATATTTGGCTTAGCGGCCTCAACCAAACCGAATTTCTCACTTATCATAGGGCTTTCCGTCAAATCCATATTGTAGCTATATACACAGGGAATGTGTTCATGGTTATTGTGTACCTCTGGGTAAGTTCGCCACGTATATTTTATTTACAGCTATGCCAGGTACCTGATAATTGGTTTGATCAAATAAAAACAGCGGTAATTAGCAATTTATTTTGTATATTTTCATTTATTTTTGTATTTTTGTTTAATTTCTAGTGTGTTTAGAAGCAAGTGTTTTAAAAAAAAGCTACTTTGTAATAAGATTGTTTGAAGCCGTTTTAACGCAGACTTTGAATCCGCGTGCGACCTCAACGTGCGTGCGTGACTGCGAGGTACGTGTGATCTTAAGGTTGAATCGCGGGTGTGTGCGCGCCAACATGCTAAAAAAATTCAATATTATTTAGTAAATACCCACTGAGTGATATTGCTGTTTTAAGCTATTTTGTTAGTTACCTATCTCGGAATGAACGACACAAGAAACCTCTTTCAGGTATTTTCACGTCTGCACGAGGCTAAGTTGATTGGCGATTTGACAGAAACAAACAAGGCTTCACATTTTTTCTCAGGCCGGCGGAGATTCCTTTAGTAAAAGCGGCTGACACTATAGTTTGTGAAAGGAAAACTATGTTTTGTCATTCTCGAAAACTCTGTTAAGACATAACCTTTGCGCATGTACTGTTTACAGCTAATATGCATTTTTTAAGCTTGAATACTGTGTTAATATAAGTTCTCCATTGGCCAAGCACATGATTCTCTTCAGAAAAAAAAATATCTTTTTGCCACGGTCTAAATCAAGTCCAGCTCTCCCAACCGACTCTTGGTAGCACGTTTGTCTCTTTCCCATTCGTTTACTTGTATATTTTGCAGATTCATCTTTTCATATATTTTGTCATTGTCCCTTGTGTAACCGACAAGGCTAAAAACCTCAGGCGAGACCAGTCAGTCGTTCGAGGTTGCTTTATACCAAAAGCACCTGTTGCATATGCAAATGTAATGGTAACGCCCAAAACAGTGTTTGGGATATAAGAATTGATATGAGGAGATTAAAATCTTGTTTTTAACCGCAAAGTAACTTAAGTCAATATACCTCCAAAGGCCAATAAAATTGTTTCTTTGTTAGTAACTGTACAATTTGTTTCAAGTACATGATGATAAAAGTAGTGTAAGAGCAGTTAAGGAAGTATAAAGGGAGACATGTTTTTACCATTTCATATCTTAAGGTACCAGTCGAATAAACGTATTCGAAAAATTTATTCCTGGGCACAAATAAATTTCCTATCAGCCAAATTAAATTTTATTTACTATTTTCAAGAGCTTATAAGAGAAGGAATGGATACGCAATTTAACATCTACATATTCTGATTTTCAAAACATCTGGAATACTTTTCCGCTTTAATTTGTTGTGTCAACCTGACTGACAATAACATGACATTCAAAGACATAGCATGTAATTACGAGATTCTCAAAGAAATGAATACGTCTTACAGAGCAAGTACCAAAGGTCTATCTACTGAATGTATTTCAAGGGCGCAAAATTTTTCTGTCGAAAGAACAAAAAATAATAGTAATAATCTTACAAAATCTGATATTTTTAAGCTTACATCATACTGTTTATGCGACGCTCATTACTTTGTATTTTTTTTTTTAGAAAATGAATATTTTGAATCGGCTTTTTCTGGTCGTTCACATTTTGCTTTCTACGTTTTAAGCGTTCCCTACCACTAAAGTCTCATCAGCTACAGACATCATTATAAAATGAAACTGGCAAGCCTTTAGATAAATTTAGTCGAAATAAGAAAGATTATTGTATTTAAACGAAAAAGAAACAACATCAATCAAATGTATACATACACAGGCGAAGAATAAAGGAAATTCTTCAAAGCGCGAAGAAGTTCAATCATCTTGACTATCTTAGCTGAACCCTGAGATAAAAACTTCAGAAAGCTGATGCTGATTCTTGGCAAGTGAAATTCGCCGATACTTTTCTCGGCGCGTAAGAATACTATTTCACTTTTTGGCGTCTGCGACTCTTCTCAGCTTTTGACAATTCCAGGTGTCTGGCAAATTTTCCATGTCAAAATGTGTTGCGTCTCGAGGACTAAGGCGGGAAATTTTCGACCAATCAGGTCAGTGAATCAGTTGGTCGTTGTTGATTATCAAGTGATATTAAAAGTGGAATCTTTACTATAAGACAACACAAAACAATAAATTTTATTTTTCACTTTTTTTTTGCTTTTTTGACAAAAGTATTAACTGCTAAACGTATTGTGCCAACAAGTTCTAAAAGCTGCGAAAAAAGGACAATGGGAAATCACATTTTTTGTGGAAAGGATACGTTTTAAATTAAAGGGCATTTATATACTCAGAGATTTGAAGGAAGCTTGTTCCATTAAATATTTACTGCAGCCATAACAAGAGAATCTAGAAAGAGGGGGACATGGGGGTTCACGGTATTGCGGTATTGAGTGTTTTTTTTCAAGCGCTATTTCGGTATTTTTTATTTTAATGTGCGGTATTGCGATATCATCTAGCCCTGCGGTATACGGTTTTGCATCCTTTTGGTTAACGGTATTCGGTAAAAGAAGATCCTTCACGGTATTGCGGTACCATTTATTTGCGCCCTCCTGTCTAAAACAGATCAATACAATGTGCAGCACCAACGACAGTAAAGTTAATATTTTAAGGCTTTAGACTTAATGGTCAATGATTATACAATCTATGACAAAATTGGAAGGGCATCCAATGACCGGGCTTTTTGATCGTTGTACCGATCAAGGTCTTCTCACGTTTCCTCGCAATGTCTGAGGTTGATTTCTGGTGCATAAATGCTTGAGGTAAACAAACACGCGAGATGGATACAGCTTTAAGTAAACGTGACCGATCATGAATGCGGTATCGGTATTTCGTCGATTTTCGACACGGTATTTCGGTATTTGCCAATTTTTCTAACGGTATTGCGGTATTAGCTACCCCCCCCCCCCGAAACATAAGGAAGGCTTTATGTTTATTCTGTTGGCCACAATTAATAATTGCTCCTCGTATTTGCAAAACCTTATTGTTTAAACAAAAATTCAAAACGATCTTTCAATTTTATTGACCGAGGCACAAAGGATTACAGGAAAGAAATTGTAATGCTTTCTTTTCAATCTGTTTTACGTTTTGGCATACTTATCCCATTATACACTCAAGAGTCCTTCGAGGGTGGGACCTATAGCCTAGATGATTTTAACATTTTCAATGCGTGCTGATAATATGTGCGCATTATATGATCTTACTTGTTCATATTCATGGGACAACTGTATTGACACTTTACACACTCACAATGTTCAGTACCTCATAGAAATTAAGGAGAAGAGAAGAGATATATGAAGATCAGAACGAGCATCTGATCAAAAATGCTAAAAGATGATTAACATGTCGAACGCTACAACTAGAGACAAAGTTTGGTGTCTTCACATGGTCCATGCCTCTCTTCCCCGTTATCAACATTGCAACTTTCTCACGAAACGTCCCAGTGACAATTGGCCCCAATTGGCGCACTAAGAGGAGGCTGTTGCCTAGCCTCTGTATAGCATCTTCCCAGGCCTTCTCGGTCAAGGCATATCGGTGACATAACCGAGAAACGCTTAGGTACTGTAAAACGAGCAACAAAAACGTGCAACTGGCGTGCAACTTGTTTTGCAGCGTTGCTGTAGAACTAATGCGTGTCCAACTAGTCACTTTCAAACCTGTCTGGCAACAAATCAGGCTATTACAGGCCGTTGTGCGAAAATTTGTTATAGAAAGTAGAGACTGAGAAAATCTGTACATGTTGCGCGTTTTTCCAGCCCAAGGCAAACTTGTTTTGCAGCAAGTGACGTAACTCCCGTGTACGGCGTGACTCCCGCCTAATGTTATCCAATCAAAAGTCAGTGCCCACGCAATGTGCAACAACCTGATTTGGTGCAAGACAGGTTTGACTGGTGGGTAGTAAGAAGCGCAACATCGCTATTCAACTCGTTTAGCCGGGCAGCAATGTTGCAAACAAGTTGCACGTTTTTGTTGCCTGTTTTACCGTAGCTTTAGTCCTTACCGCAATAAGGAGGCCTACGGACTAGATAAAGGCGGCTATACTCACAGGCTAATGTCCGAGAGATAATATTTAAAACTTGCAATGCAAACTTAGAAACCGGACAGGGAGAGACTTTGTATCTTGTTGATTTCTTTCTCGGAAAGCATTGAACCAGGAAAAAGTGTTGCTTTAGCAAACGTATCTCAACCACTTTGCAACTATACTTCATCGGAGCTAGCCTGCGTAGCAGGCGCTTGCAAGTAGTGGGCACAAGAAAAAACGGGCGCGCGAGAAGGAGACACAATTCCATCACTCTTATAACGCGGTACATCCGGGTCATATCGTGGTAGATTAGCCGAGCGCCAAGAAAGAGAACAGTTACGCGCGGAAGCGCGAGACGACACGAAGGGACCAGATCCCCTCGTCTCGCCCATAGCCTGTAATATTCTCTCCCACACTCCTTATGAACTACTTTTTTTTATTTTGTAACGTTTGTCTGCATACAGGGATAACTGCGCAAGTTCCTATAATGCACTTTGAATTCTGTAAGTTAAAAAATATATATACAGTATATATCTTTTTTGTGGTAGTTCTTCCTCCTCAGACATGCAAGTTTCCACGGATTTTAGACCAACGAAATATGTTATCAAGTACCGTAAAACTCGCTGAACTAAGTATCAGGCCCTCCTTGGGTATTTTTAGGGGATGGAGAATTTGAGAAGGCGAAGAGGCTTTCTCCTACCTTTCTTCTTCTTTTTTCCTACCCTTTCTACCAAGAGAAGCCAAAAACCCAGACAAAATAAAACGTCATCTACGCGTCGTATGCACGGGTCAGCGTCCTTCAAGCAGGACCATGCACTGGCGCTCACCTACTTTGAGCTACTTTGCTCGTTCTTCTCCTGAGGAAAATAAGTGAGCACTTATGGTGTACGGTCTAAACTACATGTCCTTTATAGTGAATACTCTTTAACCTGCGAAAACAGCCGTTTTTCCTCGCTCCTCGCCGCTAGGGACTAGTGAAGTGTCCCAATCGGCAAGGAGCGAGGAAAAATTACCGATAGGGCTGTTGTAATTCACAGGGTG